AATTGACATGATATGGAGTTGTGCATTTACAGGTACTTACAATTTATCAAGCTACACAGACCCGTTTATATGTGTAGATCAAATGCCTAACTTGCTTGAAACATCTGGAGCTAAGATAGAACATCCATTTCTATTGCAACAGTATCTTCTGATGTTATTTACTTTTACTGTATTCTGGTCCTTATTTGAAGATTAATGAAACTATTATCAGTAACCATTCTTAGCAATTCCAGAAGAATCATTGGCCTGATCCAATGAGCTCTTCTTATGTTTTTACTGTAATATCTGTCACAGCACTAATGTAAACTGCCCACAGCAGGAAAAGATGTTAGCTTTTCATCACTTTTCAAAAAAAATATATTGAAATGAAAATTCTAAGAAACTGAAGAATGTTTTCAGTAGAGATTTAGATTCATTTTACTTGTTCTCACCATGAGTAACATTCAGAACTTAACCACTCCAGAATAGGTTTGCCGATAATTTTATTTATTTATAAAAGCATTTATAAACAGACATTGCATGAAAACTATAAAGGCAGTGTACAAAAATATTGTTGAGAGTTTTGGTGGGAGGGGGGTAGGCTGTATGCCTGAGTCCATCCTAATTCATGGATACCGCAATGATTCAATTGTTGGAATAACCAGGCCTGGTACCTGGCAACCTAACTATGCACTGCTATGGTAACAAAGGAAGTGGCTCTGTGTCAGAGGCCAAATGGGTGGGGACCCCTACCTCAATGGTCTGTTAGTTAGAAAGCTTCTCAGCAGTGCCTCTCTTTTTTTAAGGAAAAAGGATGCCACTACTCACCATGAAGTTGTTCCAGCATGTGCCACACTTTTAACATCTGAAGATGTTACCCTTGAGTACCCCCAGGGGGGAAAAGCACTGCTTCTCTTTTTTTTTTTAAATGATATTTATTGAGAATTTTAAAGTTACAAAGAAAAAAGAAAGAAAAGACAAGAGAAGGAGAAAAAGAGAGAAAGAAGTAGATAAACATAACAATTAAACAATACAGATCAATAAAAACCAAAATAAAAAAAAATAACAAAACACACAATGCATCTAAATCAAAAAACAAAAATAAACAAAAAATTTAAAAACAAGTCTAATATTCCCAAATCCTTAACTTTCATTAACTTATTTCAACGACCTCCTCACACCTCCCTTTTTTGTATTCTAGTTGTTAATTATCTCAGCAAATCCTTTCCATCTTTCACAATATTCTGTCATTAAATTACCTTAATCTATTTTAACCTTATCTTACCCTAAAAAACCCTAAAACTTAAAATTTAAATCTTATATATACCAAATTCTTTTAACCATAACATATTCTTACATAATTCTTTTTGACATTTCTGCTAAAGCCAAATAATTTCATTCCAACATTTTTCTAATACTCATTAATTTTGCGATACTTTTCTAAATAAATTTTTAAAACTTTCTTCCAATCTTCATCCATCGTCTCTTCTTCCTGGTCTCGGGTTTTGTCAGTCCTTTCTCGTCCATCTAATCCATTAACCTGGTGCTCTTATGTCTGAGGCTCTTAAGTCTTTTCCATGTCCCTTCTGCAGATTTTCTTCTTGTTTATACCTGCCCTTTACTTTGTCTTTTGTTGATCTTTTTCTTATTTTCTTTCCTTTCTCATTGTGGGGTAGGTCTCGGGAGGACTCCAATCCAAAAATATCTCCATCTCTCCTCAGCAGATCAGCCCATTCCCCACACTCCCATTCCCCACAGTCAACACTGTAATCCAGAAAGTATTTAAAAGCATGTTTCAAAGTCCTTCCAAAATTAAGAGCCCTCACAACTCCAGACCCCCCCTGGTCCACTCCAGATTCAAACTTCAAGAACAGCGGCTTATACTCCTGCAAGGCCTCGGATCTCTTCATTTGTGTTATTTGAGGTTCAACAGCAACCTCCTCCATTTTCTTCTGCACTTGCACTTGCCCTATCAAAACAGGTTCCTGGGCTGGTTCCTGAATGGTTTCTATATGGGTATTCACCATTTGTCCAAAGTTTTTAACTGCAACAGTCATCAAATCCATCTTCTCATGCATCTGCTCCAGCAAAGCACTTGTCTTGCAAAAAGCAAGCACCAAGACTTCTTGTAAACACATTTTTATTCAAGGTTAAAGTCTGGTCTCACGATCCTAATCTTACAGCTGTGAGGTCCCCAGATCGGCTCCGGCAACAAATTAACAAGCTCCCTCTAGAGGAGACAATTTCTATTTGTATCCATCTTTTGAAAGCAGGACCAACAAAGAAAAATTACTTTCACTTTTCAAATACTTTGTTTCTTTTGATTACAAGAAGCAACATTGGAGTCAATTTGTTTCTCTCTCTTTTTTTTTTTTTTTTTTACTATCTGTCAAAAGACGTTCCATTCACAGTCGATGAACTTCCCCATAAATTTCTGTCTCTGACACCCCGTTTCCAGGTTTGAGACGGTGGAAAATTTATCTTTCTTTACTCTCTCTCCTGCAGGCTTAAACAGTCAAAAATCCCCCTCTTTTCTCCTGCTTCCAAGAAGGGTTTTGGTGGTGATGAATGAAGGAAATTTAGAACTTTATATACGACTTTCCAGACTTTAGCTTACAAAGTTTTTGCTTCAATCTATTTACAGAAAACGGGAGGCGGACTTCCTGTTTAGAGCCTTCCCGTTTCAGTGCCAAATTAAAATATTTCCTAATCCAATTTTCCATTCTACTCACGGGTACTTGTTTAGAGTTCAATTGTCCACAGGAAAAAGTCAGCGCTCTCCGGCAACGGCTGTGCGGCTTCACTCCGTAAAAGTAGCGGTTGATTCAAAACACCACGCCACTCACCCCACGTCGCTTCGGATCCCCGAAAAAGGGTTTCCCTGCGAGTAGGGGAGGCGCTCCTGGTGTCAGCCGAATCCCACATTCCCAGGCTTCCTCCGCCTGGGATTTTTAAAGGGTCTCCGCCTTCGCCGCAGCGGCAAGACCCGATTTTCACAGAGTGGGTTCCTCTCGGTCAGAGGAACTCCGCCATTGCCGATGGCGCTGACCCGGAAGTCGAAAAAGCACTGCTTCTCAGTCTCCTGATGTAGTAAACAACTTTTTCAGAACATCAGTCCGCCATGCTGTGAGCCTCTACATCGTAGGCTCAGGTTGTATATATTTCTAAATAAACCATATATACTGAAGTCACTACAGTCTCTGCTGTCCCTCATTCCAAAGAAAACCTGCGCCCCAAGTAAGCACCTGGAATCTCACACTGCTAGGAGATTGGGATGGCGTGCAACAATAAGCCCTACTAAACACAATGGCACTTACTTCTGAGTAAACCTGAATAGCATGACACTGTTGCGGTCTTCAATACTTTCAGCAAATGCTCACTACCTGTCCTCAAGGAGAAAACACTCACCTTGGGAATCAAGGAGGAAGGAAGGGAATTACAAGTTCAGTCCATGGCATCACCAGGTAGACCCTGGGAAAGGGCCCTGTTTGAAACTCTACTGCCAGTCAGTATCAATAATACTAAGTGACCTGGGGCAATAGTCTGACTCAGTATAAGACAACTTCCTACATTCCTATGGCAGGACAGCAGCTATCCTGAACATGACACTCAAGGGTGTGATAGAAGGCACAGAGCTCAGGGCTCGAGGGAGCAGAATCGAGGGAGGAAGCTTCCAAGAGTGACTATGCTGCCTTTAAACTGCTTTTTAATTTGAGCAGGGGTGCTCCTTGCTGCAAGTGCTCACATCCCTATTTGGCACCAGTTGTACATCTCTGAAGAGACACTTCTACAAGATGCTCCCCCACCCCTTTCTGCCAGCTGTCTAACTTCTGATCAAGGCCCCTGAAGATGAGCTCATTACTTGGGCAGGTTTGTTTGGGAGTAAGCTTCTGAAAACTGAATTTCAAGCCATTATGCAGGGTGTGGAGGGAAGGGATCCCCCCGTACTTTCTCTACAATAATAACATTCAACTTCCACTCCAAAAGTTCTCCTAAATCTGTGCCATGGCCACCATCTCTTACTCCCTCTAGACACTTAACTTACCAATAACCTGGTGACAATAGAGTACAGGTGCAGTATAAAGGCAATTAGCTATTACATTAAGCAAATATACCAACATTTGTTTGTTTCAATATTATGGGCAAGGTTACCTAGTTACTTCAACATAGTAATACAGGTTGCTCCTTTTCTTTCCATCCCAGTTAAGCCTTAACCAATGAGGTCACTGCTGGAAGCGTTTTCTATCAGACATAGAAACACAAAAGCTGCCTTACACTGAGATAGACAACTGGTCTATCCAGCTCAATATTGTCTACACTGACTGGCAGCAGCTCTTCAGGGTTTCAGGCAGGAGTGCATCCCAACCCTACTTGAGAGATGCTGGGAACTGAATCTGCAAGCAAGGTCTGCACTTGAGCTATGGTCCTTCTTTTACCATTGAGCTAGGTCCTTTACTGATTTATTTAAGTACAAGTCTATTTTGACTCCTTCCTGTCCTGCTCAATGGCAACTCCTGAGCTTGCTTTGCTGGCCAGTGCTCAGCTAGATATATCCACCAATTAAAATATGCTTACCCTCAGTCCCTCTTTTGTGTACTGAAAATTCTACCACCGTCCTGTTACAGCTTATCACTGAACCAGAGTGGAGACTTATCATCAACAACATCATCACCCATACATTATATCATGCTATACAGTATTTCATTATATTACATAATATACATTACAACCTCATTAATATAACCAGGCTTTCTTCACATAGGGCTTCAAAGCAGGGGTGCCAACTTGAATAAAATCTTGTGAGAGCCCAGGTAAGCCCTGCCCTACATAATCAATCACATGACGCAGTGCACATACACCATTTGAATGGGAATGCCCATCAATTTTGTGGGGGCCCACAAAACAGGATCGACAGGACCCACACACCTCATGGAAGCAAGCAGGGGATGTATGAAAGCAGCCTGCAGTAGATTTTTCCTGTGGTTCTTTTTGTATATTCATTGTCTTTATACAATGATTTCTCAAAGTTCTAAATCAAAGGTTTTATACAAGGTTTTATCATTTGCATCTACATAAACTGCACATTCGATTTCATATTTTTTCTTATCTTTTTCGGTTGTAATGTTCACATACGAAATAAAACCAGATCCATCGCCACAGTTTTCATTCTGTATTTTATCATCAACTGGATATACTCCGTTAAACCAGGAAACAATGGCTTCCTCTGCTCTTATTCCAGGTACAAAACAGCGAAGAGTCACCTCGCCTGCCTTTGGGTTGCTGGTGACACATTCTATCTTCATAGGCTGAGTTGGTAACTTAGAATCTAGAGAGAGGGAATAGGAAATTGAATAGGAAACTGCTCTTGAAGTACATACCTGGAAGAGGCATCTCGCTAACATTAAGCATCCCTGATTGTGATGTTCAGTTTCCAATCCTTTGCATATTTTCCTCAAGTCAGATAATTTGAACTTTCTGTTCACATTGCATTATGTCTGTTCCCTACCCAGCCGCTGCTTAGTGCTGTGAATGGAAGGTACATTCAAGACATTGGCAATTAAGGACAGAGGAATAAAAAGGAATAGCAAGGCACTGGAGAACTAGAGTGGTTGTAAGAATGACTGACAGCAGTGGAGTGTAATGGATTGCTGGCTGGAGTCAAAGTAAGTGACAGCTGTTGAGAATCTGTTGAGGATGGAAGATGAAGAACTGAACCAGGACAGGAGAGCAAGGGCAAATGAGATGGAGAGAATAAACACCTAGTTAAAAGGATAGCTGGAAAGAGGGCAGTTATGCCAAGTCAGGATATTAAAACTCTTAGTATTTGGGATGTCAGGTCCCTAAATAAATACAAGGTTACAGTTTTATCTTCAAGCCCCAATCTGTAGTTTTGTCTGGATGGACATTCATCTGTTCAGTTAAGCATATATGAATGTATTTCATATGTCTTCAGTATCTTTTATCGGTTGTTAGAGACTCAGTTATTAAGATATTAATGGTGGCATATAAATCCATAAACTACTTGTTTTAAAACTAATGTTTCACAGAGTTGTTTTGTCAAACCTGTTATTGTTTTATTCTTTTTATGATTTTTAAAAACTATCCAGTGGTATATAAATATATTGTCATACATTAAGCAGAATAGGAATGGCGTAAATAGAAGCATGACATGAGGAACTCCTTTGCACCCTTTCCTGTTTCCTTGTACATTTCAGAGGGCTGAGAGGAGTGGTCACTGTGGCCACAAACAGTGGCAGGCTTTTATGCCAGAAGAAAGTTTGCAGATCCCTGCGTACAAGTTTCACAGAATGGACTAAGCTGATCTTTCAGATCATCCCTTATGAAAATAATGTGCACGTTTAGTGTAACTTAATGGTCTGGTTGAGATGTAATGATCTCACTTTAATAAATAATGGTTTATAAGGCAGAGTAAAGACTGTCCAAGGTTGGACAGTGTTCTCAAAGCCACAAACATGAGTCTGACCAAGCTGTGGGAGGCAGTGGAAGATAGGAGTGCCTGGCGTGCTCTGGTCCATGGGGTCACGAAGAGTCGGACACGACTAAACGACTAAACAACAACAAAGATTGTCCAAGTGCTCTCTTCTCCCACTGCCTCCTCCAAGAAACATCTAAACAGTTTTCTGATTTTAACTGGGACTACAAACCAGGATATGAAACCACTGAGTCAATGTGTCATGTACCTGCATTTTACCTACACGTGAGGTGCAATACTCACTTAAACCAATGTGGTTTTTGTTCACTGGTAAAGTAGACACTCCTTCACGGCTATCAAAGTAACCTTGTTTAAAAGAAGAAATAACATATTAGGCCTTGGGCAGGCATCATGTCACGTAACAGAAATACTTACAGCAAAAATGCTACTCAACTGAATCAACACGCTTTCAACTGCAATTAGCCAACTGCCTTCCAAGGGTAGCATTTGGGGGGTTGTAGTGGGGAGAGATACAGTCAGAGCAATATTCATGGGAAAAATTCAAAATCTAGTTCTCTGATGAATTCAAGACAAAATTTCTAAAACCAGGTGTGTTGTAAGAGCATTATGTTGACATAACAACCAGATACACTTGTCTTCTGAAGAATATTATTAAATATGAGAAAATCATAAGCTACCCAAAAGACTACAAAGCCATCTTTCAGCCATGACCGAGGGTGTATCTACACACAGGGGGGGAAACGCTATAATTAAATTATAAATTAAATTGTTATAACAAAAGAAAAAACTCTACGTAAAACACATAGAAAAGTATTGTGCTCTACAGTGCCACCTGGTGTTCCATGTTTATAATGCATTTAAAACACTGTTGTTTTTTTACTAATGTAGCTGAGTCCTAAGTAACGGAAGTGCTTAATTGAGAAGAGGAATCACCTTTTCCCCCATTAGCAGTGTTTTTTGAAGGGACATGTCTGAATCCCTTACATAAATTCTGTACATTCTGCACTGAAAACATAAAAAAAAAGTTCTTACCTTTGCTTTCCCACACAAAGCTTTTTTCTTTAAAATCCTGTGTCGCTTGGTGAAAAACTTCACATCTGATTGTCTTTTTGGAGTCTCTTCCTTTTGGACTAAACTGTAATTTGCTTACAAAATAACCTAACTTGTTTTCTCCAATCTGAATGTTCCTGGGATTGTCTTCAGATATTTTTTCCCATTCTTCATACCATGTCACTTTTATGTTGCAAGGTGCAAAATCTGATATGACAGTTTCCAAAGAGATGCTCTCACTGTTTTGCATTGACGTTTCCTTTATTTCAGACATCTCAGGGCGGTGAACTAAATGGGGAGGAAAGGAAAGGATGTACTTGAAGTGAGAATACAAGACAACAGGAACATAAAAATATGCCTTATACCAAGTCAGTCCATTAATCCATCTAGTTCAGTGTTGTTTACAGTGTCTGCCAGCAGCTCTGCACAGTTTCAAGCAGGGGATATTTCCAGCCCTGCCTGGAAATGCTAGGGGCTAAACCTAGGATATTCTACTGCCCTTCCCCAATGTGAATCTATTCTATAACTTTCCTCTAAAAAGTACAGGAATTTTATGAAGGATTTAAATGTGTCATTGTTTAAATCACACTTCAGATCAGCAGGGTTGCAAGGATAGCATTCAAAAAACAAACAAAACTGGCAGATATTAGGGACACATGACTGCTAGTAGAGACATGGCTATACGGTACACCTATCAGAGTACACTAACATGTCAAACCTCCCTTGTTGCAAAGGGAACTGCTTTATATCATAATACTACATTGATCCTCAATTTAATATACATTTTATTTTATGCAAACCACTTAGACATTTTTACAATCACTTAACAACATGTTTAAAATTAAGTGGTTTACAAATTTTGTTAAATAAACAAGCTCAAATTGCCATTTGCCAAAAGTTGAAAGAACCCAAAGGACTCTCAGTACGTACCTGGGAGCTTTAGATACACATCTCTAATAATGGGCTTTTTCAGGTCGCCATATGTCACACTGAAAATAATGAACTTATTATGATCCAAAGCCGTTGGTATCAGCTGGAGCTCAGAAGACAACTTCAAGCAGCCATTTGAGTCTTTGACTGGCCCCTCTGTGACCACACCTTTACTTATTTCAATACCCCCATCAAGCCATTGAATATTTATGTTGCTAAGAAAGAAATCTGTGACTTTACAGGTTAGAGACAATGTAGTTCCATATTTAGGATAATTTGGTTCACACGTAATATCTGTAACTTTGGGGTAACCTAAAAAATGCAGATGCAGAGAAAACAAACAATTGAAAATATTAGTTTAAATTCAAAGAATGCTAGTACATCTGGTATTGCAAAACAGTAAATCAGAAGTGATAAATGGCAGATGGGGTGTCACATTAGTATGTTACAGCAAAAGCTAGCCTAGTGTCACTTTATAACACATATATCATGGCATAAACTTTCATGGACTACCGGCTACTTCATATGATGCATGAACTCCTATCCTCAGTGGATACACACATGGATATATACACACAGTCTCTCTCAAAAAGAGTTAGGTTTGGAAAAATTAGTTGCTTATCCTTTCACTCTCACTACAACCCTGGTTGAAATTAGAGGATAGAATGAGCAATTAACACCACAGTCTTGTCAAAACTACCAAGTTTGCCTAGTTTAGATGTTATGGCTTCTCCCAATGAACTCTGGGAGACAGATCTTTTGTAAAATCAGAGCAATCTCACAAAACTACAAATTAAAAGCTTTGCAGATTTAATTAGTTCAAATCCACACAATACGGTATATGGAGAAATGATAAGAGTATGCATATAATGGCAGGAGAGCCTTGGCAGTCTGTAACATATTCTAACATATATGACACCCACATATATATTATTTGTTATTAAATGCATATGATTAAACATAACTGTGTTTTATTCTGGTTGGAATACAAAGTGTGCCATCTTTGACCTTCTGGACTGAAACAGATGAGAGCTTCGATTTCTCATTGATTCATGTTTTAAATTGGCTGCACTATAATGCTTGTCATGTTTGCAATTTGCCACTAGCCGACACTATAATTTTCCTACGAAGATGCACATATCAGCTATGAACTTGCTTTGCTGATTTCACCCAGAAAAACTTCTATACTAATTTTATGAAGGACTTGACACTTCTGTGCAAGGACTCTCTGAGTCATGTTTTCCATGTGACAAACCCACGATAGCATCACCTAATGACAAAGAGATACAAGTGATCTCTTTCAATACAAGTTATCAAAGACCCACAACAAATACAGATACAGGAAACAACTCCATTATGTATTTCCAGTTTTAGATAAACTATTTAGACAGAAAGCACAAGTAGTGGTTCATTGCACAAGAACTTGCTGAGTACTCACCTTTTAACATGAGCGGGTAACTATGTCTTATAACTTTTTTACAGTGGTTGATTTGAACAATAAAGTCTACTGCATGGTCTTCTGGTTGAGGTATAAAGGATACTCTGCTTTTCTTGCAATACAGATTTGATCCTGGGTCCAGTTGTGGCTCCTCTGTGTTACTTATAGCATCCAAAGGCTCATTATTGCCTCTTAGCCAACAAACGTCACACTCCCGTGGGCAGAAATCTTCTACTAAACAAGATAATGTGATGAGTTTCCCACACTCTGGTACAGGAGGCTCACATTCAAATTTGGAGACTTTGGGAGTACATTCTGTAAATAAATAAATAAATAAATAAATAAATAAATAAATGTATACATACCAAAAAAGTGATATTATTAGCAAGTAGAATGCAACTGGAGAAGATAATAAGTATGGACTTTCTTTTGTCCACATGAATTTCTGATCTGAAGAAGGCAGGGAGTACACAATCCCGTGCAGGCCTTATACCATGAAATGCTTTAAAGGTCATCACTTCGCCCTTCGCACGGGCTCACAAGTTATAAGAAACTAGTCAAACTGAACGAGATTAAGAGAAATAATCTCCACACAAGCCACCTGTGCTGCTTTCCCATTTTATCATTCACTTTTTGTAGACTGATCAAAGAGTTTAGCTACAATCCTGCATTGTTTCCCTTTGTGTATCATCACTGGCAGCAGAAAGTATCCCACTGCATTCATGCAGCTCTCTCACCTTTCATCTGTTGACAGAATTCTTATACAGTGGTACCTCAGGTTACATACGCTTCAGGTTACATACGCTTCAGGTTACAGACTCCGCTAACCCAGAAATAGTGCTTCAGGTTAAGAACTTTGCTTCAGGATGAGAACAGAAATTGTGCTCTGGCGGTGCAGCGGCAGCAGGAGGCCCCATTAGCTAAAGTGGTGCTTCAGGTTAAGAACAGGTTCAGGTTAAGAATGGACCTCCAGAACGAAATACGGTAAGTACTTAACTCGAGGTACCACTGTAATAGCCAGTGAAATACGTAGTATTATTCTAAGTGATCATTTCAGCCCATCTTTCCTACTTACCTATGACTTTAAATGATATTGTTTCAGTAGACAAACGATCTGAAAAGGCCTCATGTCTAACTTCAAGTATAAGTTCAAACTCCTCCAGATGCTTTACATCTGGAACTATGTTGACTTTGCAGGAAACGTCAAAAGTGCACCTTTGTTTTACTTGCAAAGCTGGCTCAAAAGTAAACATGGTCTTCAACGTCTTGTCAAGATCAGAACTTTCTTCTTCTTTTCCAGTGATGATAAGAGGTGTATCTTCTCCGTGTTCAATATTGCTGCCTGTTATAGTATTCCAAGAGCACAGTTTCAGTTTTTCATTCCTGCTTTGGAGTTTTAAGAAAAAAACTATTTCTAAAGGCTTTGGACGAAAGCCTTGCAGCCAGAACACCACCAGTGCTTCTTCCAAATGTTTCAATTCCTTATTTGCAGTTGCTGAAAATATCCCTGGTTGAACTATAAAGAACGAAACAAAGAATTTCAGGTGTAGAAACTTGTAGCAGTGTTTCAACGGATACTATTATAACAAGTCATCTGTAAGAGGAACATTCTTACTGCAGTTTACAACAAAGCATTATTTTTCTTTTTTGTAATGATCACATTCAGTCTATCGCAAATGCTAGTGACTGCTACATGGTGAATAGCAATGTATGCAAGATGCTGTATCAAAGATCAAGTGGCACAGTCCCTATCTAGAGTGCTTGCAGTACAGATCAGGTAAAGCATAACTGGAAGAAAAAGACAGTGCTGGATGAAGCGTTGGCTCAGTGAGATTAGGAAGAGTTTATTTTTGAGGTTAGGTTCAGTTGAGTATAGCAACAGCCTTACTTAAGAAGCCAGTTCAGCAAAGACTGTTTAAAGCTTTAAAGGGTTGGGGATGATATGATAGAAAGCCAGAAGGTAGGAGCAGGGATTTTGATAAGATGTTTGCAGCATATGAATTTGCACAAAGAATCATTCTGATTTGGAGGATAATTCCTTCCATAATTCCTCTGTGGCAATAAGACATTGAATAGTGACAGTTCAGTGAACAAAAAACCTAACAGCTTAATGTATTGTATTAAGTTCCATGTTCTCTTAAGCTCCAAAATGCTGGGTTTTGCAGCTGTTAAAGGTCACACCCTCAACAGAGGTGTTATTTAGACAATATGGATGGATATGCAGTAGATGTCCTATGTTGTGATTAGTTCCACCTTAAGCAGAAGACACCATGATATGTTATGAGTACCCATTAACACAGAACGGATGGAAGTGTACTGGCTATGTGCACCTTTCCCACAGAATAATAAGAGTTTAAAAGAACCTTATGGTGATGTGGGGTGCTATCTTCAATCTATAAATCTTGCTCTCTCTGTGTGCGCCCTGGAAGCTTCAGTAAAGTTGCTTAGCTCACCAACCCAAAACAGTTCTTGTTTTAAGCTGTTGTTTTACCTGACACACACAAAATACACACTCTATATTTACACACTATATACAGGTTGCACAAAGGCTTTTCTCTCTTTGGTCCCAGAGGAGTTTGTGTAATTCAAAATCCTTGCTGAGCAAAATCCACATGCCAGCCTTCTTTTCAGATGAGCTCTCCTCAAAGTGTTTCACAATGATCCATCCCTTCCTGATAACAGCCACTGACCCACAACCAATTCTCTAATCCGAGCCCTTTTATACATATAGTAGCATGCTTACTAAGTTAGCCATATTTTGAAGAGCAACAAAGAGGACGCTATGACGACTTGTTTTAAATATCTCTACTATATGTAGGATATAGAAGCTGTGATATATTGCTGAGGGGGACAGGAGAAGAGAAAAGGAAAGCAAGTCTATGTCTCATCCAGAAAGTATAGCCAGAGACATTTGGGCAAATTTAAAAAATCTACCCGGACAGAAATTTTACCCCTGAAAAAGAGGACGTGTCCTGGAATAAGACTGGGCAACCAAATCTGCCCAGTAAATTGATAAAGAAGTCAAATTGAGCCAAGTGCATTTTGTAAATGAATCAGTGAGTCAGCTTTTCCCTCACTAATGAAATTAACATACTAGCTATATTCCTTAACACCTTAAAGGTCATTCAGTCCAACTCCCTGTTCAGTGCAGGGTAGCCACAGATTAAGCATTCCTTCTTATTCCTTTTGTACATATCCCACCCAAGTATTTTGGTTAGCTTTGTAGTCCTGAATTAAGAATCTTGCAGTGTGCTATTTCTGTATTATGTAGAATGAAGCAAAAGAGCTGAGAAAGAGTGCTTTATCTGTGACAGGGGCTTGGACTAAATGACCTTCAGGGTCTATTCCAGGACATACTTCATGTGGATGTTATTGGTTGCTAGTTGAGTACTTGCAATGTCAAATAGTAGCTTCAGTTGTATAGACTCCATGAGTCTTTTCTAGTGAGCAGATAAATCTGGGGCATAGGGCCACCACTCTGTCACTGACAGCCATTCATCTCCAAGATAGTGCTGAAGCTAGAACTAACCAGTTAGGACCTCTTGCATGCAAAACAGATGTTCTATCACTGAGTTATGGCCCTTCCCCAATTGATTCAGCAAAGAAATCTTAGCCACTTAAAAGAAAACTTAGTCAAAATTCTTAACCACAGGCAAGGAGATTTTTTGGTGCCTGGTGTACTGGTGCTTAGGATTTTTTGAATACTGTCATTTCAGACCTAAGTTTACCAAAGATTAAGATTTCACAAAAATACTAATTTTACTTTAATAATAATGAATATGTGCATGTATTATGTTTCATATTAATCTATTTTTGTAAACCACCCTTAACCACATTTGATGAATAGTATAGAATTCTCTTAACTGAAAAAATTAAATAATCAATTAATTAAATGTTTCCCATTACTTACTTTTCTTAAAGTACATTATGTACAGAATTACAGGAATCACACCAAGTAATAATAAAACAAGTATCACAGCCAACCAGGTAAAATTTGGTGGTGGTTCTGTAAAGAGAGAGAAATTGTTCTTGTTACTTATCACACAAAATAGCAAAATGTTTCAGCCTTGTTGCAACCTTTTGATGAGAAGTAATATTTCATATTCAGCTACTCAATCATGGCAAAGTTATTTTAGCCTCATTTATTCCAACTGCACATAAGAAAAGTCCTGCTGGAGAAGCCGAAAGACTAATCTGGTCTAGCATGACTATAAGGTTTCCAAAGTGGACATAAAGACCTCTCATATTGTTGTTTGCCAGAAAGTTATATTCAGAGGCATGCTACCTCTGATTTTGGAGGTAGCCATTGGTGGGCTTACAGTCCACAATTGTGTCCAATCACACTGTAAACCCATCTAAGCTAATGGTCATCAACAGACCACCACATGGCAGTGAATTCTGTAAGTTAAGCATATGTTGCATGAAAAAGTACTTCTTTTTGTCTGCCCTGAACCTCTCACCAGTCAACTTGACTGGATGATCCCAGATTGTGTTAATGGAGAACTAACTTCCATCCATATCACACATAAAGGTAAAGGTAAAGGGACCCCTGACCATTAGGTCCAGTTGTGACCGACTCTGGGGTTGCGGCACTCATCTCACTTTATTGGCCAAGGGAGCCGGCATACAGCTTCTGGGTCATGTGACCAACATGACTAAGCCGCTTCTGGCGAACCAGAGCAGTGCTCGGAAACACCATTTACCTTCCCACCAGAGCGGTACCTATTTATCTACTTGCACGTTTGAAGTGTTTTCGAACTGCTAGGTTGGCAGGAGAATGGAACAAGCAATGGGAGCTCACCCCGTCGTGGGGATTCAAACCGCCGACCTTCTAATCAGCAAGTCCTAGGCTCTGTGGTTTAACCCACAGCACCACCCACATCCCAGATAATTATATCACACATAATTTTATACAATTCTAACATGTCCCTTCCTCATATTTGCCTTTTTTAAAAAAAAACTAAAAAGCCCCAAGTGCCATAACCTTTTCTCACTAAGGAGTTGTTCCATCCCTAATATCATTTTTGGTTGCCCTTTTTGTGCACCTTTTCCAGCTCCACAATAATCTTTTTGAGATGCAGCGACTAGAACTGTGCACAGTATTCCCATAGATTTGTATAAAGGCATTACAATATATTTTATCCCTTTCCTTGTGATGCCCTAGCATGGAAGTCCCAAAGACTAATGCATTTGTAAGTACAATATGAATCTTTGGAGAAAGGAGAAAGCTACATTTCAAAACATTGGGCAGAATTAGTGGAAGGTGCTGAAGGCTCCAGGGTGTGTGAGCAAATATCCTCTCCCCTTCTGGATCAAAAGCCCCTACACTCATGGAAGTACACCAGTTGGATGTGACCCACTATTATACACACACACACACACACACACACAGGCAGAAAAAGTCAACAGAAGGAATACCTGTTACTATCAAAGTGGCATTGAAGGCCTGCCGTATGGAAAATGATTTGTGTCCCACAACACAACTATAGACATTTCCATTATCCCGTAAAGATGGTTGTAGCCCCAGTTTACTGGTTACATTGAAAGTGCCATCTCCATTTTTCACAGGTACCCCTGTGCAAATATCATCTGCAGGTACAACTTCATTATTGCCGCGTTCAGATTTTTTCTCCCAATGAACCTCAATCAAAAGAGGATAGAATTTATTCACTGTGCATGACAGGGTCTTCTCCTTGCCGTCTTCTAGTTCAACTGTCCTGGGAGACAGCTTTACTGAAGGTTGAGCTGCATGGAGATAATAAAAAGTGTCATTTTTTCTGTTTTTACTGCATTTTTATACAGTTTTTCAGACAAAAGCTGGTTGAAAGTGAAGTGAAAGTCATAGTTCATACTCCTGATTTCTCAGAAGGACATGGTCTAAATTAAAAACCTGGGGTGAGGGTTTTTAAGCAGAAGGAGAAGGCTGGGGCAAGAGGCACAGAAGAGAAGTCCTGAAGAAGGTGTTTTGTGGGTCAAGAGGAGCTGTGTGCTATGGGTGGGAAGGGGGGAAGCCTACTAAGAAGGCTGGTCAAGAGCCTTGGTTGTAATAAAAATGAACAAGAAGGAACTTGGGGGGAAATAATGGTGGAGGCAAAGAGCTGAAGAAAGGAGTCCAGGAGAATACCAAAACTGGGCAAAACTAGAGTTACAAACGACTCTGCACAACTGGATAGAAAAAGCAGAAAGGTAAATGACGGACCTGGAGGGGCATTTTATGTTCCCAGGTCCTTCAAAATACCAGCTGGTTTATTTTTTTCCACCATTGATATGAAGGTATTTTTTTCTTCCTCTGCTTTGTTATTTTTGTTGCTCTTTATTTATCATTGTATTGTTTAAGTAGTTAAGCTGCCTTCATAGCATTTTGACACTGAAGGATACAGAAGAAATTTTACAGGTATACATACATACATACATACATACATATATATATACTTATATATAGAATTATTACAATTTAGAACCTAGACCCTGAGAAGATAATTATGTCAGTGGCAGCTTCTATTGTTAGTGTAGCTTTTGTGATCTGGCAATTCTAAAAGCGCAGTGAGGGCAAAGAAGGCAATGGGAGTGGACTTAACTTTCAAAGATTCATTTGAACTAACCAGCCAATTCTTTGGCTTCAAGTGTTTCAAATATATATGATAATATCAGTCTGTCGACTAGAGCTCAGGTGTTGAGTGACAACACCAAAACAAGGCTACTAAGACACAAGGAGGAGATAGTAGCAGGCAGAAGTAAAACAACAACCACAGGGGGAAATCTAAGGAGGCATCCCCCCCCCAAAAAAGAGCATGCTTAGTAGCCACAAAATACTGACAACCTGTTGGGAATGGGGAGCATGAAAAATTGGGGTGATGAAGAGAGAATGCAATGGGATATCTTGGATACCACCTGAGTGTCTGGAGGCCTTAGTGGGAGCACTCCACAATACAACGTTTTGTGGCAGGTCCCATTTGGTATATAAGAAATTGCTTAGCAAAACTTTTAAGAGTCAGCTATACCTTTCCATAACACAAAGTGACTTTTTTAAAAAAGAGATACGCTTCTGAGAGCTGTTTGACATTAGAACAGACTCCCTTGGAAGGCAGCAGACTCTCCTTCTTTGGAAGTTTTAAAGCAGAGATTGGATAGCCATCTGCCATGTATGATCTAGTTGAGATTCCATTGGGATCCCATTCCAACTCTACAGTTCTAGAGTTCCATGATTCCCAAGCAGGTGATTTATAGTTAAGAAAGGTTGGTAGAAGTTTAACACTTTCCTTTTCTCTCGCTGTACCAAACCACCCCTACACGGTTCCAAACCTGCATCTCCTGGGGGAGGGGGAGGCTGAAGCAGCTTGGAATGTATTTTGGTGCTTGGGGGAAAGGATTAAGCATGCTTCTCGCACCCCCATAGTTCTCTGTTCTAAATTACTGTCTTGCAAAGTGACTTTTCTCTAAAGATGGGTGATATCACATACATTTCCTTATATAATGCTTAGTTAGACCTTAAAGCTACTGGGAAATTCTGAAATGTACAAGTTCATTCTCTGTAAGTTTTCTACAAACTTGTACAACATAAATACTTACCAATTAGCTCTACAACAGTGGTTCCTTCATTTGAATCTGGGGTAACAGTCACAGAACAACTGTATATTCCTTCTTCACTAATCTGTATTTGGGGGAGGTAAAGTGCAGCATTGCCTTTTATCAGTTCACTTTCATCCATTCTTGCACCGTTTCTATAAGATTTAGGCACTCCAGAAACAATGGTGTATACTATATTTTCCGCTTCCTTGGAAGAAGGCTTCCAATACCACTCAACAGCAATTTTTGCAATCTTTAGCTCTGGAGTACTGTATTCAGAAATCTCACATGGTATCATCACATCTGTATCCAAGACTGCCACCATCCGACTTTCCATTGTCACTTTCAGAGATTCTTTGTAAATAAAAAAAAAATAGCATTATTGCAAATAGTCTTTTGACCTTTCTAAAGTAGGAGGCTATGATTCATCACTGCCCATATTACATGTATGGGAAACAAAATAACAAAATAGTCAGTGACCCTTTCCTGTGGCACTTAATGCCATTTTGATACCTTATTTTGAAAGAGACCACAATTACCTTTATTTTGATACCAAAATAGGCCCAATCGGTTAAAAAATAAGTGAAACAGGAGGTTTTTTTCTAAACTGACAGAGAAATTGCATTAGCCTAAAAAGGTAAAGGACCCCTGACAGTTAAGTCCAGTTGTGAACGACTCTGGGGTTGCGGCGCTCATCTCGCTTTACTGGCCAAGGGAGCTGGCATTTGTCTGCAGGCACTTTTCCAGGTCATGTCGCCAGCATGACTAAGCCGCTTCTGGCGAAACCAGAGCAGTGCACGGAAACACTGTTTACCTTCCCGCCTATTTATCTACTTGCACTTTGACGTGCTTTCGAACAGCTAGGTTGGCAGAAGCAGGGACCGAGCAACGGGAGCTCACCCCATTGTGGGGATTCGAACTACCGACCTTCCAATCGGCAAGACCTGGCTCTGTGGTTTAGACCACAGCACCACCCGCCTAAATCGCGTGAAAATTGAAATTTTCAAAAAATTATCCTGCCCCCAATTTTAGACCAAAAAATATTTTAAAAATAATTTGAGGTTATCTCATAGGTATCTACACATAACAAAAAAACCCTGAAGAAAATCTAAGTCGTGAGAGCACATGGCACCAGGTGATTTGGTGTGGAATGACCCTTTTAGAAATATAGGGTTGGATTCAACTAACCTGACCCTCCAGTAGAAGCCAGCAGCAGGGTTCCTGGTAGTAAAATGGGGCCAAAAAACCAAAAACTTAAACCATAGTCTCCTATATTTCACCTGTGAGCTTTGCTCTAATCTTTAACACTAAGGAATGGGCAGTCAATAATATTTTAGGATAGACAATGGCAAAATGTTGAGGATCCCTTTCTTTTTCTATATTTCATTTATGTTTGTGTAGCCTATATGGTTTTTAGCAATGAAAAGATCAAGCTGATGTCCTGTCACTAACTGTTATTAGGCTGTTGCTCTGACTTGAGGGTTATTTTAATTTAAAAACTGTTTTTCTTCTTTCTCTTTCTCAACTTGAACTGCTTTTCTGGGATTCACAGTGCCATCTAGAGGCCAGAGAATTTCCTGTTGCTGAGTTAGGGCTTCTGGAAAGTCAACAGCATGCCAAAGGGCCAAATTTTAGCCAGGAATGAAGGCTTGTTCATTTTCACACAAATTGCCAAAACTCCTGATGGGGTTACACTCCCTCTGAAGGGAGGTGCTTCTGGATTCACTGCTGTCACCTGAGGCTCAGGTGGCCCCAGTGGCACAGAGTGACCTCCATCAGCTCCTACAGTTGGCCCACCTGCGCCCCCTGTCTGGACAGGTAAAGCCTAACTTCTGTTGCCTATGCTCTAGTAACCTCTAGGTTAGATGACTGCAACATGTTATAAGTGGGAGTGCCTCTGAGGATGGTTCAGAAATCCCAGGTGCTGCTCACCAGGGCAAGACAGTTTGAGCATATTATACTGATCCTGGCCCGACTGCACTGGCTGCCAATTAGTTTCTGGGCCCAATTCAAAGTGCTGGTTTTGACCTATAAAGCCTTAAATGGCTCAGGACTGAAATACCTCAAGGACTGCCTATCCCCATATGAACCAACCCAAACCCTATGATTGTCATTTGTGGCCCTTCTTTGTGTGCCCCTCTGTGAGAAGTGTGGAGGTTGGCAACAGGCCGTTTCTGTGGTGGTTCCCCACTTGTGGAATGCTCTCCCCAGGAAGGCTTGCCAGGTGCCTTTGTGACATATCTTTAGGTGCCAGGCTATGGGCATAGCCAGGATTTGTGTTGGGGAGCAGGACTTTTGTTAGGGGGCAGAACCAACGCGATTGCTCAGTTAAGTATTTCTGTTGTTTTACCCACTCCGTAGCTCCATCCATGTGCTAGGCAAAAACATTCCTCTTCTCCCATGCCTTTGGCTATTTAAACCATCTATATGACCTGTGAGGGGGTTATTGCTTTAGTTTGTTACTATGTTATGTATTTTTGCGTTTTTATGTTGTAAGCTGCTCTGCGATCCTCGGATGAAGGGCAGTACAATATAGAAATTTAGTTAATAATAATAAGGTGAAGTGAAACGATATGAAAGAAGGATTTATATCTAGATGTTAGGATAGAGATGATAAAGAAAACAGGAAGACACAATGAGAGATAAAGGAGGTGCTGTGGGAATGGTGGAAGTCAATGACTTGTTGTTGTTTTAGTGTTTATAACATTAACTTGTAAGATATGGATTTGTTTTTGTTTGTTTGTTTTTGTTGTTGTTGCTTTCTTTAGTTTTCGAATGTTGATTTTTGTGTGTTGTGTACTGTTATTTTTTGTTATCTTTCGTGTTGTTGTTGTTGTTGTTGTGTGGAAAATACTAATAAAATTTATTTTTTTAAAAAAAGTAGTTAATAATAATAATAATAATAACGTGCCCCCTGCAGATCCAGACTAACGCAGCTGGTTGGCGGATGCCATAGACAGTAATACTAAAAGGAAAGGGAGTTCATGATGGCTGGGAGTTTGTTAAGAGGGAGATAGTAAAAGCACAACTTCAGGCAATACCAATGAGACGGAAACATGGAAGGTGCCTAAAGAAGCCAGGGTGGCTATCTAAAGAACTTTTAACTGAGTTAAGATTAAAAAAGGATGTGTACAAAAAATGGAAAAGGGGGGAAACCACAAACTGGAACATGTCCAGAGGAGGGCAACCAAAATGGTCAAAGGCCTGGAAACGATGCCTTATGAGGAACGGCTGAGGGAGCTGGGCATGTTTAGCCTGGAGAAGAGGAGGATAGCCATGTTCAAATATATAAAAGGATGTCACATAGAGGAGGGAGAAAGGTTGTTTTCTGCTGCTCCAGAGAAGCGGACACGGAGCAATGGATCCAAACTACAAGAAAGAAGATTCCACCTAAACATTAGGAAGAACTTCCTGACAGTAAGAGCTGTTCGACATTGGAATTTGCTGCCAAGGAGTGTGGTGGAGTCTCCTTCTTTGGAGGTCTTTAAGCAGAGGCTTGACAACCATATGTCAGGAGTGCTCTGATGGTGTTTCCTGCTTGGCAGGGGGTTGGACTCGATGGCCCTTGTGGTCTCTTCCAACTCTATGATTCTATGATTTAACACCGCTCTCAGGGATTTCTCCTCAAGCGCTAGAAATTAGCACACCTAGGGGGAAACTCCGGTTGAAACCAGCTGGTGGTTTCTCCCGCTTCCCCAATGCAAGCTGAAGACGCCGGGTGTCCAATGTGGATTCCGTTAAGGGTTTCTCTCTCCTTCCACACGCGTTATGGCTCTAATCCGTGCCCCAGAAATACGTAGAGAAAACTCCCTAGTCTCAAAAGCACAGCTGCATGTCGAGCCTAGTGGGCACCATTTCCGCGAGGAAGAGGCGCAAGGAGGAGCTGGGCTTTCCACGGAGGAGCAATTTCAAAGCGCCCGCTTCCTCCTCCTCTGCTCCAAACAAGTGTCCCCCTTAGTCCGCCTTTCTCTCGTTAGTTAGCGTCCGCCTCGCCCCTTGTCACAAAACTCGCTTCTCCAAGGCTCCCCTACTAGCTCTCCCCTACATCCAGGAGTTTCCACTTGTTTCCCCCGGGGCGAGAGCGACCTCCGCGCTCTCTCCCCCAAGCAGGAGCCGAACTCACGGCGCGAGTCGCCCTGCGGCTGCCAAGCGGCCTTTAGAGGAGGCAGCAGCTGCAGCAGCGACGCCCCTCGCCCGCTCCGTTTACCTGCCGGCTGGAGGACGACGACGCCACAGAGGAACACCGAGAAGCCGTGCAGGAGGCACCTGCGGGCCGCCAACCCACCTCCCCAGTCCATGGGTCTCGCTGGTGAGGCGCGGTTTTCCTTCCACGCGAAGAACTCGCCAGGCTCCCACAATCGTCTTTGTCCGGTGAAAGGTTTCGCTTTCCCTTATGAGATTGCGAGCTTTGGTTGTATTTGGACCTGAGGCAGATAGTGGACAGGCAGGGGGCAGCCGCGAAACTTAAAATCGCACGGAAGCTTCGCATGGTCAAAAAGTCAACTTCAACAGCTTGAGTAGTTAAACTGGGATAAATAAATAAAAAAACTCCGACCAAGAAATAGCTCCTGTACGTAGCTGAGTGCTAGGCAATAAACTTTCGAAGCTCGTATCCGTGGCGTCAAAAGAAATCCTCATTTCTCAGGCAGCTGAGGAGTGCTCACGAGTAAGCCGGGTTAAAATACAGGAGGTAAACAGAAAACCAAACAGGCACAGCACCTCAGCAAATCTCACAAATGGTTGACAGCTCAATTTAAGCCTAATCTTGAGTTTAAGTAAAATCTCAACCCATAGCCCCCTACAGTCCTGAGTATTCAATTCATGCTCCAAGTCTCTCTTCCCCCCATATAGGCTTCTGGTTTATTGTCTCACATTGACAACAAATAAACTCTGTGTTTTTCTCCAATTGTTGGTTGCTTCAATACATTTTCTGTAGTAACCAACCAATACATGTAATAAATATAATAATAAATGTTAAACATCCTTGTTTATGATCTACAGTGTTATTGTTTTTAATTCTGCCAAACATAACAATGCTGCCACAACAATCACTGGAAGAAGATGGTCATAGAGGACCCAAAGCAACTGACTATGAATTCAATTTAATTTATACCTCATGTATACAAAGTAAGGGTGAAACAACATTCTGCATACAAATATTGCACTGGAAATAACACAGATATGTACAACTTTGTTATACTATGCATCTGTTGGGATGCCCAGAGCATCTTCTTTGCAGGTGGAAGGTCCCAGGCTCAACCCCAGCATCTCCAGGTAGGACTGAGGGAGACACTGCCTGCCAGTGTAGACAGTACAGAGCTACATGGGCAGTGGCTATGTGCCAAAGAACTCTTGCTGAAAAGTTTCAATGTGAGGCAGGGTGAAGGACAAGGAAACATAGTCTCCATGTCATAAATCAAAAAGGAATTTAAAAACAACCTTCATGAGACTTGGGCCACCATCCTAAATATTCCTTTTTAGAGAAATAAGTGGCACTAAAAACAAATGAACAATACTTTGAAGAAAATGCATTTAGGAATGAAGCACCAAACCATGGAAATTATGTCTTATACCAAGTTTAGGACTAATTTCTTTTAGACGGGGAGACAAGAATGATTAAACCTGGGAATTTCACGATGCAAACCATGCCTGGCATCACTGAGTTCTGATCTGAAAACTTTGCAGGATAGGAATTTTGCCTCTTACCAAGGGAAGTGAACAATCTTTGCCAAGCTCTCTGTGCCCATACAAAAACAGTAATCATGTCTACTCAGAAGTCAGTACTCAATTTATTGGGGCTTACCCCCAGGCAAGTGGTTAGCATTGCAACTTGGTAATACTTTTTGTGTCATAGTTTTTTTATACTTGGGGGTGGGGGAAAGTCCCAAGCATAAGATTTGTTTATAAAACAAACAATTGAACAGAAGCTGCAGATTCATTTTTAATGTTAGATTAATAATACTATAGGAACCTTATTTTAAATCTTCCAGATACATTGGTTGTGTCTGATATCATCTGCATTCAGCATGGTCATAGCCTCTTATAAGCATTATAAATTATGAAGTAGTTTGAATAGCCTGGCCCATACACAGCCATGACTGTGCCATATTTCCTTGTAGAACGTGGTTTGGCTCACAGTAGTGATAAACGAAACACCATAAATTCTGTATCCTGAACATTTTTAAAGCTTCTTGATTATAAAATGCAATAAGCTTTTGGAATCATACTGCAACCCAACTTTTTATTTTTGTCATGTGATTTTATTTATAATCTTAAAAGAGGGATGTATGCCACATAAAATTTAATGACAGAATGCTCTTTTGGTCTGTATATACTTGTGAGGCCACAAACAAAATACAGAAGATAACTTTCCAACAATTGTATTAGGTGAGCCTCAAGAAAGGATCACAACCTGTATTTAAGCATGTACTGTTTCAAGTAAAACTGCAGAGAAATAGCCTTCCTCCGGGAACTTCTTTTGATTCTCATGTAGGGTCTCCTGTATGGGTAATATGAATTAAGTCATGGGAATCAGTCCAATAATCCTGTTCCATCGCACCTTGTATATAATCCAACTAGGAAGGCACTATGCATGGTTGCAGTTGCCTGTGCTGGCTCTTCTATTGGCCATCGTGGGCTGTGGAAAAAGAAGTCTAGGGCTACAGAAAGACAATTCAGCCTATAGATCAGAACTACATTGCCATATTCATTTCAGGACCATAAAAAGGAAAGAGTGGCTGACACCGAGCAGGAGTAGGAGATGACAAGAAGCAAGAAGGCAAAATTCAGTTAAGATAATGGAACTTGAAAAAAGGAAGCACAGGACGGGTTCATAGGCCACTCTGACCATGGGCTGGTTCCATGGAAAGGCTGCCCACCTGGCCTCTTTTGACTCCAAGAAGCCACCTGTGTGTATTTGCTATCTGTTTTGAGATGTGCTCATATTATGACATTTGTGGTTTTATTAAAGGAGAATTTGGTGCGTGGCAGTAGTCACACACTACTGGTTCATCAAGGGCAGGGAGAAAACCTGCACAGGTTTTTTCAAGTATCCACTACATGCTTAACAGTCTTATGCAAACTGTGCGCCAAATTCTCCTTCCCTAACTTTTGTATAGGGAAGGCCTGCCTTTCATTTTATCTCTGCAAATATAAATAATTCTGTTATAGCAAAACAGCCAATTTCCTGGAAACAGAAATCATTATAGTTGTTCAATATTTTAATAGCCACCTCCTATTTCTGCCCCATCAGCACAACCATCAGAAAAAAATACTGTCCTAAACGAATGTAGTTTTCAGACCTCATTTTTAAATACTTTGTATCCAGTCTTAATGCCACTGTCATTCCATTTGCTTCAGTAGTCTTTGAATCAAAATTCAAGTAGGAATAACACAGGAATAAAGAATGCCTTTAGGAGTCATGTTCAAAGGATAAACTGGGTTTCAGCTGTAATGAACTGGATGCTTGTTTTTGAGCTAAAATGGTAAAGAACTCTTAAAGCCATGTTGCTCTTAGCCAAGTTCACAGAAAAACAAAGGGTTATGTGGAGAAGCTTGAATTATTATTGAAGATGCCGGCTTCAGGCTTCCATGAAAATATCCACATCTAAACTGCATGCCTTTTAACGTTCAGGTAATCATACCCAGTGTTAATTAATTTTAGCTTAAACTCAGAATGCAGCTTCTGAGAACTGCTGTTTGTAACATACTGATGATTTTCAAAGGAGTCATTTACAGCAGGAGCCAAGCTGTTTTGTCCAGGAAAAGACAATGAGAGGTCTTTGCTCATTCTGCAAATATACTTTATCATCAAAAGAGCTCGCTTTCATAGCTCATAAAGGGATAAATGCAACTGGCATATTATGAAAGGAAGTAGGACAAAAGTATCTTCTTCATAGCTGACTTGCAGGGGATGTAGCCAGCTGACACACTGCATTCGGTTTGCAACAATAAGGATGGCTAAATCAATACACTTCAAATTCACTATTTCTGTTGAAGGCTTCTTATACTGGCATTCCTAGGCATATTCACTATTGCCTATTACTCCCTGCTGCAATTAGACTTCCTTTTTTATGTGCAGAATTTATTGAAATCAGATCACAGGTGGTTTCTATTCATTTGGTCTCAAAGACCAAAGAGATTGGGGCGGGGGAACCCACCCTCATTCACTGCACCATCCTAAATTCCTGCTTTCCATTGTTGGCACTTTTAGGAAAATATTGTCATAGACTTGTGTCTTGATCAAGCAAACTTCCACTTTACACCCACCGACAATCAAGACTGTCGGCATCATGAACATTTACAAAAAAAAGTAAAAGATTTGTGCCTCTTAGCTTTTCCCTCATCAGTGAGTCTTCTGGCATATTACAAAACATATTTAATTTAACCATGAAGTAGGTGGAGATTTTCCAAGGCACAAATGATGGACAGCCAGCCAAATTACATTGAAGTCAAACAATAATGTTTTCCTGAGGATAAAATCTGGATGATATCCTTAAATCTAGTTACAAAATTAGAATATTTTAATATACCCTTCTCACCTGAAAGATCGGCAGCTTTATAAACCTGCCTTGTATCATTTGTGCCTTTGAAAGTCTTCATGAATCCAATGATTTGAAATAGGGATTTTAAGCTCAATTCCCAATTTGTTTTTACTTCTCTGACCACATCCCCTCCCACTTCTCTCCCAAAACTATGGTACAAATTTGAGGCACGTGTGGTTAAGGGTGAGACTGAACGTGATCTGATCCTGCAGCTGTTTCTTGTACTGGTATGCTTCCTGGTGGTAAAGGCTGACTGCCTCCCGCAGGATGATTTTGAACATTTCCAACTGGTTGTGATGCAGCTGTAACACAAAATACGAAAAACAAAGGTTAGTTCTGTTGAACAATTACCTGGTAATCCAAATCTCAGAAAGTGTGGTTCTACATATTTTAGTAGACTCAAATTTTACATGGGGGTTACATTACAGGGGGTTATGCATAAAGCTGAAATCACATATAGTCAAAACGTCCCCAAAGGTTATTAGAGCAGAACTCCACATATTTATGGTACTAGATATTTTTTTCCTTGCATAAAATCACCTTTCAGAGAACAAAGAAGGTCTGCAGTATTTGCTTGTTCATTTATGTGCAGTAAGATTTTATAGCTCCATTTTCAATGGTATTTTCAATTTCAATGGTATTTTCCATTTTTCAATGGCTCTCTTTTATGAAAATGCATCTTTTCCCCCCTCTCACATACAAAGACACACTTGCCCAAATTATATCTCTCTCTTTCATGTACAGCTGCTAAGAGATATATTTGGAGTTTGTATGAAAGGTGCCCCTATTTCATAGTAAAACATGATAGATTCTTTCATTTGAATTATCTGGCAAGGAAAGTATTTGGGTAGGGGTTCAGTTTCAGGCATCCAAGTGTTCAAACATGTTACATTCCAATCTAATGGGTTGGAAGGCTCCTTCTCTTATTTGCAGTAGAATATTAAGTGCCAAGCTATAAATTTGGTTCTGAATTGCACTGAGGGCATAAATAGTTTTTCTCACAAGCAATGAATAATATGTGTGTGTGTGAGAAAGAGAATAATTAATTTACATACGTGGCTGGAATTTCAGTTCTCCATCTGGTCCCGAAGGAGGATGTCCTTGCTGTAACTTCTTCTGTTCCATTTGTTGGACAGCCTGTTGGGCAGTTACAAACGTACATGGAATGAAATGGAAAATAGGTAATCCAAGGTGTATTGGGGTGTTAATTTCATGCAATAAAGCTATATATATATATATATATCTTTGAATATGAACATCCATATAGTTCTTGTGTATCACAGTAAAGTCTGCAACAAAATGCCTTCTTAAATAAACTCAGCTTTGCATGGATTCCTCTTTTCTCTGGAACAAGTCCTCCCAAATCCAATAATCTAGTTCAGTACTGTGCAACATGCAGTAACTTTACAGTTGTTTAACACAGAATATCACCATCACTTTATACTGCTGCTAAAAAAAAATTGCACTGGCTGCCAATTAGCAACCAAGCTATTTTTAAGGTGCTGCTATTGGTACAGGTACTGGTGTATAAAGCCCTATGCAGCTTAGGACCACAATACCTAAAAGATCACTCCAACCTTTCGAGGTCTGGTATGTCTGAGCAGCAGACCCAGCTAACATGCATTCCAAAGACAGTATACTTTCAGAACAAGAAATGATAATTTGTTCTGTTCTTACTAAACAATAAATACAATGAATTCCGTATCTATAACCAAAGGAAATTTGCAGCTATTCAGATGGTACCTGCTGGAGTTCTTGTCTCTGAGCTTGAAGGTGGTCGTGTTGTCTCTGTAGTTCTTCTTTCCTTTTCTGAAGTTCTAGTGCTTGCTTGTTCAGTTCATCTTCTTGCTGGGAAATGTGACTTTCAAATTCCTTCAGATCGTCTTCAGTGAAGACCTGTTGTTGGTCCAGGGTCTTAAAAACAACAAGAATAAAACACAAACCCCTCAAAGAAAGTTCAATGTTGAAAAAATTAAGAAGCAATTCACAAATTATTCTATAGACCCACCTTTTGAAATATGTGTGCAAGATACAATATTTTTTATGATGATCCGAAGTTTTGATAAAGAGAAGCATTTTACACTAGCTAAATTCTTACCAGAAAGGGGGGGGGTAGAATAGCAAGGTTCCTCAAGCGCCCCTCCTTTTTCTAACAAGTTCCTGATCTTTGTCCATGCACAATTCACACACCTTGACAGGAACTTGACTTTGAAAAGACTAAGGGTCTGCCCATTGGAGTGATAAGGAAAATCATCAGCCTGCAGCACTACCTAGCTTTTCCCCACAAGAGGGTCCACACAGGACCTCCTGCCAGCAGAAACACTCTCCCCAGGAATCTTCTGTATAGGAAGATCTGCGCTTCTTAAAGACGGTTGACAACATCAGACTTTCAAGAAGTGATCATTTGCTGAACAGTGCACACACAATACAGGAGCAGTATGCTCACACCTTTTGGTGCTGTATGTTTTCCTCTGCTCCTCCACACCCCCACCTTCCTACATACATAAGCCGTGGTCCAGAAAGTGCCACCCCCACTTTGTTTTAATGTATTTATGTGAGGAATTTTGGGGGGGTTGGTTGGTTTTGTGTTGCTTTGTGTTGCCTTGAGCAAGATAAAGCGACTAATAAGTTTAATAAATAATAAGAATGGAAATCTGCTTATGCATATGGATTGTATTTGTGGTAACAGTGCAATTATCTGCTCTATGCTGCTGGGCTTGAATTTCCCCACACTCTTTCTCACTTAATGTGAAGTGCAACAGAATCTTGTTTGCCAAAGAGAACTCCTTCTGTGCTTATAGAGATATTACTATAAGGAAGACAGCTTCCAAGCATATAGGACAGCATTACAGCACTTAACAGTTCTCAGTTTCTTTCAGGATCTGGGAAGAAATGGCATAAACCTGACTTTATAAAAAAGATAACACAATTCTCTCTCTGTATTTCCAATATAAATCGCTGACTGCTCTGTTCAAAGAATACTGCAGTCAAAATGTCTGTGCTTATTCTATTTCAAATGCATGCACAAACATTAAGATTGTCCCATAAAGTAGCGTATGCACAGTGTCCTTGGACTCACTGTTCAGATTTTATTTTGATAAAGTTGCTAATAATTAAGCACAGATAAATACAACAAAGAAAGGAGGAAGAGAATCAAAGGCTTGAGACAAACTAACTACTTGTGGTTTGGGTCAGGATGGTGGTTGCAGCATGTTCTACTTTAAAAATGGCAGGATTACCTCCCAGCTTTCTGGCTCCAAAAACTCTTTTTTCTCTGTAGCTCTCAAGAATTCTTCCAAAGTCACTAACCGGTCCTTGTTGATGTCAACCTTTTATAAGAGGTACAAGTGGATAAGTACACTTTAGGTACTTGCATTTGTATTCAGGTTTTCAAAAGATTTTCAAAAGATACAGTATTTTAATGTTACAGCACAGGCACCACATTATTCTGAGGGGGAAATGATGACTGAAAACAAAGTCTTCAGTGTGGCCAAATGAATTCCCCTCCTACACACTCACTCACAGCATAATCCAATGCATGTTTACGGTACTCAGAAGTAAGTCCTAATGTGTTCAAAGGGCTTCTCCTATGTAAGGTCCACACAGTTAATTCTTGAGAGTTCTTCAAAAGCTTGGATTCCTCACTGGAAAATACTATACAATGTTACCAAGCAACTATGTGTATTTCCTCCAGTCCTAATTTTTTAATGTCTAAGGGTCAGAATACATTAGTGCCCACCACAAGGGACACTGCCATCCTAGTGATAACATTTTAGAATTGCTTGTCACTGTGACTGTCACCATCCTTATGTGAGAATTTCATATTCCCACTAGCAGCTGCCTGGAACAGACCAGGGATATAGAGACATTAGGGTGTGAAGTGTGTGTGTGTGTGAGATGAATGTGGTAACAAAAGGGTTTTGCCTACTACAATTATTTATAAAAGAGTGATGTTTTGGCCTCACCTCATTCATGACATGTTCTCTCATTCGTAGCCTCTCTTCTTCCATTTCTACCATGTCATCTTCTTCATTTTTGGGATCATAGACTTTCTCTAGCTAAAACAGAAGCAAATACATCACTGAACTTAAGGAATATGCTTGAAACAGATTATCCATCCCTGTTATTGTTTAACTATATAAATACGTCAAACAGAGTTGGCTTCTGTTTTCAAATCAAGAAATTACTGCTTTTTATGCCAATATACAATACATATTGGTACAAAATCAGTTTGAATTGAATTGAAGTCTTTTGGCTTATCCTCTTCAGACTGGACCAGTATATCAACTTTCCAAATTTTGAACTTACCAAGACATTTGGGCATTGGTCCACTCTGTATGTACAGATATGTAAAAGCCCCTTGCATTTCTATGCCTAGACACTGGAAATATGCATGCCAGGTAGCTAGTCCCAGCCTGAATATGAAATCAATAGCTAATTTCGTAAATGGCATCAGTTCCTGGTATGAAGTTTTTATGTTTTGCCCTTGCATTTATAGGTTTTAGCAATGGACTTTCAAAGTGTTGAAAGTAACTATCTCGTATTGCTCCCTGCTCCAGAATATATTGTTTTTCCTTGAATAATTGACCTGGGTTGTTGTTGTTTTTTTTAAAAAAATAGCCTTTAACACATCTTTGGTGAATACATAAATATTACCAGTGCTGCCATTTTTATATAGAAAGAAGTCCTTAAATATCAACTAATTGTAAGGAAGAGTTTCCATGTAATGTGCATCACTTACCTCTTTAGTAAACAGGGCTTCTAACTCCTGCTCATCCAGAAAATGATCATTATTGACATCTATAAAAAGTATAATGCATATAAATATAGAACACCAAAGCATTAGCACACTCATGCACACCAGGTCTAATTCACTTGTAGCAGGCTACAATCCCAACTTGATTAACATCTATATCTAACAAAATATTTTAGCACAGCACGCTTATTTTTCTATTTAGCTACTGACCAGACTGTTGCTGTTGACTATTTGGTTTTGTGTTCTATTAGCAAAGAAAATCTAGAAGTGCTCTTCAGGCTTCCATTCTCTTATAATTAAATCGGAAACCAAAACATAGCTCAAAATAAAATCTTAATACATAAATAGCCTTGAATATATTCAAAATTCATACATTGCCTCTCTTTACCCTTCTCCCCTTGATAAGATCCCGCTTAGCCACACCGATACTGAATCATGTTTATATGCATTAAATCATGGCAGCTTGACTTTTAATAATTAACTTTTGAAGCAAGGGACTGTTAGACAAGGGTGTGAACATCCATGACCTTTGTAAGATTTCAGTGCCTAACTGCTGTTTAGAAATTGTTGGTGCTATTTAACTTAGAAAGGAATTAACTATCTGTCTCAGATACTATTCTTTATATGCATCTGCTTCAGATCTGTCCAGCCCTGCACATTTGTCACAACACCATAATGTTGATAAAGTCACTTTGCCACACACAGCCATTGTGTAATAGCAGGGATAAATAGAGAACAGAAATGAGGAGGGGTTAACTCTCAGTCCCATTTCCTGATATTTTACAGGTTCTTTAGTCCCAGTGGCTGGAGGGCAGCTGGGACAACCTTGCCCAGACTTACTTCCTAACAATAACAGCAAAAGAGGGTTTTACTTTGCAGAGCATAGCCTTATAAGCTCTGGCCCCTTTGCCCAGATCTGAATATCGATTCTTTAGCAGTTTTGGAAATTCTGCTTATTGCAGCTTTAAAGAACCTTCAAAAGACTGAGTAATCTGTCCAGAAGGTCATGTATAATTACAAGACTAGTTTTCAAGTCCTTGAAAGGGTAATTGGCATGAGTTTTAAAAATACAAGGCAAGCTGAAAATGAATCTAAGTTGTAGTCCTTCTTCAAAACATTATTATTTTCTTCCTCAGTATGGACTCCAGACTGTTGAGGTAAATAGTGCCAAAATGAAAATAAGCGCAACAAGCCCACCAGTTATAGAAATTGTTGTGTTACAAGGACCTATACACATGTAGATAAACTCCAGTACAAAAGGGACACTCCAATGTGAAAATGCTGAATTAGAACTCAACTGTCTGATAAATTGTATCACCTCAGCCCTGATCTGCATAATGGGATTTTACCCTACTACCGATGTTAATTTACTTAATATTCTTTGTTGTCACATGATGAAGGTATTGCTCCAGAGAAGGCAATCCCAAGAGTATCACTCAAGTTGCTTAATTTTTTACAGGAAAAAATTATGCTCCTTACCATGCAACTTGAAAAAAGTCTTTGGGTCGAAATCATTGGGGTCCAGTCCATCTGCCTCCTCCCACACCTCTTTCAATTGGTCTTTACTTCCCTGTAAGTTGATCAGAAAAAGCAATAATGCAAATGATTAGATAGACAGTTCTTGCAACCACATTGTGCCAAATAAATCCATATTACCTTTCTAAAAAAAGCTTCAAAATCTAGTTATTCCCCCCCACACACACACACTGAAAAGCACACATCTATCATCCATTAATGTCAACATCTTCAGTAGGAATTCCTAAATTGTCAGCAGAGGTGATAACAAAAATGAAACAATATGTTACACATGGTCAAGAACCATTTGGATCATTCTACAATGCCACTCTTATTAACAGATGGGCATAACATAAGGGGAGGTAGAACTTGGTCAGGTTCTATTCCCCACAGAAGAAGTTGTAATGAAAGCTGCAGCTCAAACATGTATTAGAAAAGTTTTCAAAGGAAGCACAGATCTCAGTCCCTTCTCATAAATGTAAATCAAATAAGAAATGGCTGGAAAGGAAGCATATAAAATGCTATTTCAGTTCAGAAAAGTCCTGCCAGTTCAATAACCAAACCAAATTTAAGTGCACCTATAAAGCATATCCCACTACTTTTATTTATTCTCCTTTTAATGCATAATGCCTGAATACACCTTCACTATATGGTAGACACAAACCATGTCCTTACAGGATGGTTAACTTTGGGGTGATTACTGTGCTTTTTCTTCAGTTCTTCATACTTAGCTTCCTCTTGTCGTCTCTTTTCTTCATCCAGTGTTTTTAAATATTCTCTTCTTTCATGTTCTTTCATCATTTCATATTTCTTAAACTCCTCATGACGAGTCTTGTCATAGTTTTCTAAGTCACTTGTGGCCTACAAATTAAAAATCAATTAAGAATACTGTGTTTTTTGACCACTGCAATATGAAGCACAAAATACTCCTTTTATCCAAGCTTTGTGTGTGTCCCAGCAGTGGGTCTGAGGTCATGCTGAACAGCTGATATACTGTATTTTTTGCTCTATAAGACTCACTTTTTCCCTCCTAAAAAGTAAGGGAAAATGTGTGTGCATCTTATGGACCAAAGGCAGGCTGCACAGCTATCCCAGAAGCCAGAACAGCAAGAGGGATTGCTGCTTTCACTGCGCAGCGATCCCTCTTGCTGTTCTGGCTTCTGAGATTCAGAATATTTTTTTTCTTGTTTTCCTGCTCCAAAAACTAGGTGCGTCTTGTGGTCTGGTGCGTCTTATAGAGCAAAAAAATACGATACCACACTCTTTCCTTCCAATTTACTTATGAAAGGAAAGCGTATATGAAGTGGTTTAATATCTGTCACTAACAACTGAAAAACCACATCAACTCAAACAATAAGATATGCAACACAGAAAATCCAGGGAGTTAAGCAATGGTAAAATTATAAGAGAGGCAGAGTCGCAAAGCTGATTCCACGATTTTGTGGGCCCCTTATACAACAGTCAACTAGTGTGCCCCCAACCCGAAATGTAAAGATATAGCCAAAAAGAAATAAAACTTCAAAGTTATCACACCCTGACCACCAGTACCATTGACCAGGCACTGCCTTTAAATGAGGACAGGGAGCTAAGCTGCCCAACGCATTCTTTTTTGAAATGAACTGCCACCACTACATCAATGAGGAAACTATTAGTTTTGTCTTTTTCCATTAACATTTGAGTGGGCTCCTGCAAAGCTGGGAGTCTCTGGTGGCTTCCTGGCCATCCAGTGCTCAGGGCTGGACAAGCTGATCCTGACTGGGTGAGTACTATAGCACACCGGAGCCAGTGGCGTCGCAAGGGGGGACAGGGTGGTGGTGCACCCTGGGTGCCATGTCTCGGGGGTGACAAGAAGGCACCCCGTGGGGTGCTCACCCTGCCGCCCCCCGGGCGCGGCGGCGCCAGCAGCTGTTGCACCGCCGCAGCCACATGTGAAGGATCCTCCGTTTGTGGCTGCAGCCGCGAGCGGAGGATCCCACCACTGTCTGTACGGCGCCTTAGCGGCACTGGCGGCAAACCGCTACATACAATGCATGCACGGTGTCACACGCATGCGCGGTATGTAGCGATGCCGCACATGCGCTGTACATAGTGGTTTGCCACCGGTGCCGCTCGAGCGCCATACGGATGGTGGTGGGATCCCTCCGTTGCCACTACAGCCGCAAGCAGAAGATCCCTCCGCCGCCACTGCAGCTGCGAGCAGAGGATCCCACCAACGTCCGTATGGCGTTCGGGCGGCGCCGGCGGCAAACCGCTATGTACAACGCATGCTTGGTGTCGCACGTATGTGCTGTACGTAGCGGTGCCGCACATGTGCCCTACATAGCGACAGCACACATGCGTCGTATGTAGCAATGCCACACATGCATCGTTCATAGTGGCGCAACGCGTGCGCAGCCAGCCGTTTGCCCCGCCCTGGGTGTTGGTTAGCCTTCGTTCGCCCCTGACCAGAGGTTAAAACCCTTTATTTGAATGAATTTTTGCACTGCTTGAAAAACAACACACACTCAGAGGTAAACTGCTTAAGAACTGTGAAATGTGTCACTTAATGAGAAGCATACCTTTACTGAATGCCTCTGCTGTATCAGAATTACAGTGGTGCCCCGCAAGACGAATGCCTCGCAAGACGGAAAACCCGCTAGACGAAAGGGTTTTCCGTTTTTGAGTTGCTTCGCAGGACGAATTTCCCTATGGGCTTGCTTCGCAAGACGAAAATGTCTTGCAAGTCTTGAGATTGTTTTTCGCTTTTCGCCCCCTTTATCTAATCTGCTAAGCCTTTAATAGCCTTTAATAGCCTTTTAGCAGCTAATCCGCTAAGCCTTTAAGCCTTTAATAGCCGCTAAACCGCTAATAGCGCTAATCCGTTAAGCCGCTAATAGGGTTGCTTCGCAAGACGAAAAAACCGCTAGACGAAGACTCTCGCGGAACGGATTAATTTCGTCTTGCGAGGCACCACTGTACCTTAAGTGTACAGTACAAAGCAATTCAATATACAATTGCCATCAACCCCAGCCAGCATGGCCAAGTGTCAGGTGTGTTGGGAGTTGTAGTTCAGAACATCTGCTGGGGACCAAGTTGGAAGAAGGCTGGGCAAGGTGAAAGGTATTTATATATATGCATTTAATTTCACCATACCAGCTCCAGACTGATAAAGCTGAGGAATCAAAAAGTTGGACCTCTCAAAGATTCAATCCCAGAATGCTCTCAGATCTTACTGTGGCTTATTGTCCATCTGGGAATAGCTGGGGCCTCCACCACAGCAGAACCATCCCCACCAGTGGCTCCTGTAACTGTCCATCATCTTAACCCACTCATCTTGCAAGTCATTAACATTGGAGGGATCGCTACTGGTCCATTATTTCTCATCCCAACCAATCAACAACAGGAGGAGGGAGCTGGTAAGCCCAAGGCTTGCTTAGGCTCATTCCTACTTGTTAATGTTGTACAACTAAACTATGGTTTAGCATAACCTGAAAATGCAGCTGACTATGCCAGTAGTGCCATTCTGATTATGCTTCTGTCCATTTTTCTACAGTGGTTCTCACAGCCATTTTTCAAGAGCAAACTCAGTCCCATTTCCTTAATTCTCTATTTGCTTAAGGAAAGTGTGCTAACAATGAGTCACAAAGTCTCCCGGTGGAAATCTCACTCAGCTATGAACTCACTAGGGGGAGCTAAAAATTCACTATACTGAAGTCTCAGCCTCGCCATCTGCAACTTCATAATAATAATGTGGTACTAGTTATTTTTAAAGGGTTGTTGCTAGCATTAGCGAAAGTGTACCTCAGATTAATAATGGTTTCAGGTTAAGAAGGGACCTCTGGAACAAATTAAGTTCGTAACCCGAGGTACCACTGTATCTGTAAGGCTTTCCCTCCTCTGACAGTTGTCCTTCCCAATTATTTAGTTAAGCAAAAGGGCCTATTTGGTGTTTTTGTGTCTGCAATACTGTTACCCTCCCCAAGCCTTCAGGAGAGGATGGATTGCAAATCTAAACATACTTTTCAATTTCAGAGCAAGCAGCTTTAATTGGCTGATTCATTAGCTCAGCGATGGGGACCTGGTGGTCTCTCCAACTGTTACTCATTGGAGCTGCAGTCCAATAACATCTGGAGCATCACAGGTTCTCCATCCCTGCTTTTGATCTATGGGGACCAATTTTGAACACGTTGAGAAACACCTGCTTATATTTTGAGACTATTTTGATTCCATCAAGTTTAATGTGGAAAAAAGAGAGAATGAAAAATGCCCTTTTTGAAGATGGTGTTGCAGCTTTTGTTTATTTATTTGTAAGTTTCATTTATTTTTTGCTACTTCAAAAGAACCTATCTTTAGGTTTTGGCAAAATGCAAATCAGTCTAAACCTAAAGCAGTTAACTAGTTAAAAGACAGGTGATTAATCAACGCAAAACTAGTTAAAATCTTTTGTACATATCCAAATACACTTACATAAAATTGCTAAAGGAATCAGAGAAGAAAATTTGCCAGTATTAGCTGGCAAAGGTCAAAAGAGCGCTCAGTTTAAAGGCTCTGTAAAAGCCTTCAAAGATTGCTTATGTTGGCTTGGGGATGCAAGTCGCATGAGGCACTATGAGAAAAATGAGCAGACTGTTTTCAAATTCACATAAATGTCTCCTGTGGCACAATATTACATTACGGAGCCAAATGGGATTCTCAGACTATGACTCTTGAGGTAACTATGAAAGTTATTCAAAATGGAGGCAGGGGAGGGAGAAAAAGTAGATTCCACTAAAGAAAAATACAGCAGTAGCAGCAAGCAAGCATCTGGAAAATATTTGCTCAACACTTACAGCTTTGATTAGCATGTCTAAATCTTTAGCTTCAAAAGTGTGAGGGTTGTCGTGGTTCAGATGCTCAAATTGTTTGAGAAGGAACTGATGGTCTATGCCAGAATCTAAAAACAACCCGTACAAAGACAGAAATGATTTAACTACATATATCAATATATATTGAACAACAGGTTAAGTTTCCTGGCACTGCATGAGGGAAGAAACATATTTTAAAAACACATTTATATGCTGCAGCCCTCAAGAGCAACTCAAGGATGGGCTTTAGCCAAAGTAAAATGAATATTGACACTCAAAAGGACACAACTGTCAAACTGTTGAGAGATTACACTATAATTTTAATAGGCAGAAACTAAAATGCATACTATAGCAGACATACACTACAACTATTCTGCACTTAAACCAGTTCCAATATCCATCATTTCCTCTAATAGCAAATGTTAGTTTGGCAGCTAAGCAGATTGTCACTCAACTAACCTACAAATAAGGCAGCAATTTCCACATACTCCAGGGACACAAAAGTATAGAATTTCTGAAGTAAAATTAAGAGGTATTTAACTTAAAATAAAAAGTAAAGGAGGGGAATCCGGGGGGGGGGGGATCAGTGAGGACTGAGCATGCTCAGCAGTTTACAAAAGCCATGGAATGGGGAGTGTCATTTGGAAAAGAAAAAAGTGTTAGCCTCCTTGAGCCGCCTAACAATGGCTAGTATTCTGAAGAAGTGAAGGCCAGTATAATGCAACTATGGGTCAGGTGCAGATATACTGTTCCCCAATAAACAGAGTTAGGAAATCCAGAAGCAGGCTGTGATAATCTGTACTGCCTTCACTAGCATCTTCCTTTCTCCCTTGACTATATTATGTTCTGGCTATTTCCTGCTAAATGGACTAGGTTTTTTGTTAAACCGTCTTCAAACACTAGCTAAGATGAGGCCCTGCTCTGCAGTGTAAGAGAGAGGAGAGGGGGAATTCACACAAATGAGCAAGGCTGCGGGGGAAGCATGTGGGTAAAAGACAGAGTAATATTATGTCTGCACCAGCCTTGAAGGCTTTAGATTCTAAATTAATTCACTTTGAATTTGGCAAGGTTGGAGGGAGCACAGCTTGGGTGTGAAATGATTGGTGGGTGGGAGGGAGATCCAATGGCTTTCTGAAATGTGACACAATTCTTACAAATAAAGACTTCTATCTTTCTTTGCATAGAACCCTCATGTTGATCATCGTATGCACATAAGCATCATATGCACATATGTATAAAGGTGGGATAATGTCCCAGGTAGTGGATTTCTAGTTGCCCAGCAAGACTTTCGCTTCCTTTTCTATCCCTGCTGCCCCCCCCCCATGCAGATTTTGGGTTATGCAGGGGACAGGGGAAGCGGGGTGGTGGTGGAGAGGAATGGGAAGTCCCACCATGTGTGCAGAAGTCTATTCTACTCAAGAATGGACACAACTGGATGCCCCCCACTGTGTATACATCTACAGAGGTGTTTGCATGTTTCCCCCTCTATTCTGGCATGTTGGATAGCTCCGTCAGTAGAGCAACAGACTCTTAATCTCAGGGTTATGGGTTCAAGCCCCATGTTTGGCAAAAGATTCTTGTATTGAAGGAGTTGTACTAGATGACCCTCGTGGTCCCTTCCAGCGATACAATTCTATGAAATGGTTCTCAGCAAGGAACGTTTTAAATATCACTAACTGCAGAAACTGCTAACCAGGAAAATTATTATTAATATTCCTCTCACTATCCAAATAATTTTGCTGTTTGAAAGTCTGCTTAAACAGTGAACTTTCCTTTTTTTAAAGTAGAAGCAATATTTCATTAAACAAGACCCAGCAAGGTAAGTCCAGCTGCGTGTGGAGTTTAAGAGCAGAAGCACTTCTTTTAAACTCCCCCCACCATCCCAAACCTTCCTAATGCTTGCTGAGCAGAACTGTGATTTGCTCTGGTGTGCAACAATTCAGATTATCTTTCTGCCATGAACACAGTGAAAGCAGGTCAAAGGGGGGGGGGGGAATCTGTAATGGATAATCATGTGAACTGGCCCTAACTGCTTTAGAGAAGAATGAAAACTGTTTCATGAACTAGATAATCTATCTTCATAAAGCCTGGCCTTACACTCTATTCCCCTGAAGCACCATTTACTGCTGATTGAAATGTAAGCATTTCAAATGCTGTAGAGAACAGGCCAGTCATCCAATACAGTATATCCATATTTCACATTGCAAAACATTTTCTTCTCCCTATTTCTACATACTACACCTGAAAACAAGGACAGCGGCAACAGAAAAAAGATTTTGCACAAATTGTGTGTGTGTGTGTTTATTAAGTGTCACTGTTTTGATAAGTATTGCAGCTGCATTATGATAACTATACATGGTACTTTGAAGAATATGTATTTTATCATACTGGACATAATATCAACTGGTTTTCTGAAATCTATCTTTTCTCTCCTTTAGACATTTTTTCAAGATATTGCCAATAAAAGGTGTGGTTTTTCTAATCAAGTTTTACTGTGACACATGCTACGGCCAGTGGGCCGGATGCTGAGCTCTCCTCCCTTTGTGGGTCACTTTGACAGGTAGGCAGCGCCATCTACCAGTCAATCAAATGTTGTCAGGCGACTTAATTTCAAAAGAAAGAGTCCCGATTCTTCCCCTGCATCCAAAAGAAAGTGCAGGGTAGCAAGAAAAGGTGCCAATTCAAAAAGGGTTGACTCTTTGAGGCTAAGGAAGAATCAGAAGTGCACTTAAGAAGGCAATTCCGATTCTTCTTCCTTTTAGCCACAGCTTGAAGTTTAAAGCTGCAGTAGGAACTTCCCTGTACCCTACATCCAGTACTATTTTTCTAGAAAAAGAGGTGCTGAAACTCACCATAAATGCCTCCCTCGTTCTCTTACAATGGCAATGACGCCCACCTGAGAGATACTAGAACTGAGTTCCGGCCACTTCCGGCTGGAAAAAAGCCCTGCCTACATCATATATGAAATCAGGCCCAGCAAAGGATGGCATGGTTTGCCCAAAACATCCAATATCTTGGGCCCAGTTGAGCTTGATTAGGCCCATAAACCATAAAACAACATTCAGCTTAAAAGATAATTCTCACATTTCTGCTATGCATATTAGAAATACCTGCTAGTCCATGGATTAATTAACATTGTTTCAATGAATTCATTGCAATGCAATCTGCAATTTAAGCATTTTGGGGAAATGATGATAAGTGTTTAACTTCCACACAAAAATTAGGAACAAGATGCTACCGCATTTTCATAATATTAGTATTACAGGGGTAGTATTAACTCATTTTATTTTTGCTCTGTATTCTCATAACCTTGCAAACCTTGTTTTCAAAAAACCTTTCTAAACAGGTGGCCCGATCAGATAGTACTTTGCAGCTCATCAATAGTTTAGTGTTTATATTCCAGTGAAGTATGTTGCTGGTCCTCAGTGAGAAAAGTAAAACTTGCAAAGCTCAAGAGAAATTAATGAAGAAGCTACAAAAGTATTTGACAATATCAAAATGGAACTCATATAGTTGTCTTTTCTTAAACCATTTTCCCAAATGTGTGTCTGCTGTTTCCTCAGAACTGGTCTGTCTTGTTCTCCTAGATTTCCAAACAAGGACTGTGTAATGAGATGAAAGGAAACACCAAAGCTCTTACGCCATTCTATTTTATATTAATCTCTGCTACTGTTGTAAACAAGAGAGGCAAATGAAACATTTTTGCTTTGTGTTCTTACCTTGAAATGAATCAATCTTGGCTTTAATTAACATCCTTAATCTTGCAACCTCTTGTCTTTTCAGTTCATCCAGCCTTGTTCTCACATGATGGCTAACTAAATCTAGTTCCTTGCTTAACTTTCCACTCTGTCAATAAAGAAAGCAATTGATAAAGGTAGTCAGTTAAATTTTTTTAGAAGGTAACTATGTTCTACTAGGTTCTCAACAGAGAGAAGACGATGAAGCATTTCACAACTGACATGTTGCAACTGGAAGGACATATTACCTCCTTTTATCATGGAAACAGAACCCAAAGTCTAAGATCCACAAGTTCCATATATAATAAATAAATGAGTACAGTAAGCCAGTTAAGGATCCAATCCAATTTTTAGTCCAAAGTTGTGTGAGCACTATGTTGCTGACAGAGAGGTCTTATGCTTAGAAGGCCTTCCTTTTTCACTTAGGGGTGGCGGAACACAATGCATGAAGCTGAGATAGATAAGCAGTACTTCCCTTATCTAAAGATAGGAGGAAGTCCTGCACAGAAACCTCCACACACTAGTGCTCCCACACATTCTAGGAGCAGCTAGATAACACAACCCTGTTTAATACTTGATCCCACTGTGAACAATTGCTATCTGCAATTGTTGCTGTCATATTATCATGAAGGAGCTGAAGGATGTTCACAAATTTATCTGGGCAGCCAATTTTCAGAAGGACAGTTGACAGAGCATTACAATTTACAGTGTCAAAGGCCTTAGTCAGGTCAATAAACACCATATACAGGGGTTGGTTTTGCTCTCTGCATTTTTCTTGAAGCTGTCAAGCGGTGAAAATCATGTCCACCGTACCCCTAGAAGGTCAAAAACCATTTTGGGATTCAGGAAGGGTAGCCTCAGATATTGTTAGGAGACGGTTTGCTAAGATCCTTGCAAGAATTTTGATGTCCACAGCTATTAAAAAGATGCCTCGATCGTTTCCACAATCCGTTTTATCGCCTTTTTTAAAAGAAACTGATAATTTAGGCATCCCAAAGTCTGCTGGAATCTCTTCTCTCCCCCAGACCTTTTTGATGACCTTGTGAAGTTGTTGTCTAAGTTCAATTCCACCCACTTTGAAGACCAGAAGGTATCCCATCAGGTCTGCTGGCTTTGAGAACAAACTCCATGTTACCTGTATGGCGTACTGGCTCTTATCAGAATATAAGAGGAGCCCAGCTGGAGCAGACCAAAGTCCCATCTAGCCCAACATCCTGTTCTCACAGTGGCCAGGGAGATGCCTATGAAAAACCCACAAGCAGGGCTTGAGCACAAACAGCACTCTCCCTGCTTGTGATTCCCAGCAGCTAATTCTCAGAAGCATACTCCCTAACACTGGATCCAGTAGCTATTCTCCATGAATTTGTCTAGCCTCCTTATAAATGACAAACCAGAGTACAGTGGTACCTTGGTTTTTGAACATAATCCGTTCCGGAAGTCCGTTCAAGTTCCAAAACGTTCAAAAACCGAAAGCAGAAGCCTCAAAACGCAAGCCTCAATACAGAAAACTCAAAACAGAAGGTGTGTTTCCTGTTCGAAAACCGAGGCACTTGCTTCCAGGTTTTCTGCATTCGAGTTCCGAAACGTTCGACTACAGAGGCGTTTGAAAACTGAAGTACCACTGTGCTCTACTTCTCTCTCTTATTTTTCTAAACAAGCTGCATGCTTACCCAGTTAAAACTACATACCTTTATTGCCTCTATGTCGGCTGTCTGGAGCTTCTCTCTGAAATGTTTGTCTGTCTCCAGGACATCTATCACTTGCCTGAGGTACACATCGTAATAAAGCCCAGTATCCTTCAGGAAAATGAATATCAGTTTGGTAAAAGAGGGCCAAGGAAGAAAAGCATTTCTCTTTCTATAGAAATATTTCAGACTAAATTAGGTGAGATCTTTAGCCCAGCTGTGATTCTAAGACCTAACTATCAGTGTCCATAATGTTTTATCTAGCGGTGAAGATAAAAAAAAATAATCACATGAAGCAGCTATAAATACACATTCTTTGGGGAACTGCAACTTCTGTGGATTTAACTGAGCTCTTTAGAGATGTCATTTATAAAGAAAACTCAGTAGTACAGAAGAGAAAGAGGTTATAAGGGAATAAATAAGATATATGTGGCATTTTCTCTATAGCTTTCCTTCCTCTGTTTTTCTTCTAGCTTTAAGAACCCAGTTAATTTTAGGTCTCAGACTAAATGAGATATGGGGAGGTCAGTGACTGGATCCCCATGGTTTCTTTAAGTTAAAATCAGTCAGGTTGAGCCCAAATAATATTTGGTGTCTGGTGTTCCGGTACAGAAAACTTAAGTCTTTTTCCAGTATCATATGGTTTATCTCTTTTTTAAAATGGAGGATTTCTTTTCTGTGCTGAGAAATTTCCTATTTAAAACACTGGATAAAGTGGTTTGAAGTCAAACTGCTTTCTCTGAGAGTCAAAATGGTCCAGTTAGTTCATTTCCTCACTCTAATTTGCTTCTTTTTTCTCTCTCTACCTACAATATTTTCACAAAGCTAACAAAAAGAAGAAGACCTAAATCCAGACCCTGAGTGCCACAGATGGCCCTGAACAGTATTAATACTTTAAATTCAGAAATAATATTCCATCAGTTCAGCGGTAATGGTAATATACACTTATGATATTGATGCCATTACAAAGTATTTATTTCACTTACCGGATTATCTATTTTTGCATTCTCTACTTGTTCTTCCGCTTTTACCTTTGTCTTGTCTATGTCTATAGGCACAGCTTCCAGCACAATAGCAAGATAGGTCAGGAGCAAAAGACACTGTTGTAAGAAAACAGCTTTCCATCTTATCTGAAATAAAACAGCAAAGTATTTTTTCTAAGCATGTAACACTTTTTATCCAGGATTGCTCCTATGGCAAAAACAATCACGTCAGAAGTATGAGGAATCTCAGATGCATGCCTTGTCAACTTAAAAGTAGAACACCTTTTGGTATGACAGGAGTGACTTATAGTCGCACTCTCGTGAATTCAAGCTGCAATATTCAAGTGGCCTAAAACTGAGGTGTTAGCATTAGTGAGCAGTATGAACACAGTTCAGGACTGGTACTAACTATGAACACAAGTTTACACATTTCTGGTTAATAATGCAAGAGATGACCATATAAGACCATATGCAAAGTGTCTGGTAGTGGCATCTTGACATCTGCCATCATATTCTGTACTATCTTCATACCATTTTTATAGTACCGTCCTCCTATTCATTTTCACAACAACACTGCATACTCCCTTTTTACAAATGGAGAACTGATACCATTTTCCCAAAAGGCTGTGCTGACATAACAAATTTGGGGGGTTGAGCTGCAGAAGCAACCTGAGTAACCTACATGAGCCAGACTGCACTTCAGCTGAAATAAATCTATGAAATCCAAGCATGTTAGCTTAACCAAACTGTGGGTCCAATTATCACTGATCCTACTACTACAACAATTTAGTCCCTGAGCAGTTCCAAGGGAAAAACAAATCAGGTGTTGGAACTTTCAAACCTTGGAAGAGCACACATGAGAAACAGCAACAGCAGAAGATAAAGTTTATCTGTTGTTGTTTTGTCTCATATTGACAAAAAGCAGCCTCTCGAGCTAATATACCAGGACAACTTTGTACTAAATATGAACGACTGGTTTGCAGACACTAATAAAAATATTATTGCTTATTCTAAATATTTCATTCCATATTTCACAGCTTCATTTGTTATTATAATAATGCCTTGAAACATTTCCAATAATATACGCCTTTGCAACACCAGTACAGCAGCATGTTTTGTGATATCGTCTTGGCAGTACACTCAGTCCTAAGCAAATGCTGAGTGGTCGAAGATGTACTCGGGTCAAGCTGTACCACAACATCATCTCACTAGAACCAACTGTGCTGTCACAACTGTGTGTTGTTTTCAGTATTGTGTGTCTTGGGAAGCTTTGTGACTGGTCAGGTTCACTATGGCTGCATTAGAGTTTTAACCAAACCAACCCACTGGGGTATATTAATTTCTAGCTCTCACTTGCATGGCAACTTTTGTTAAGCTGTGGCCTCTACTAAAGGTTTGTGGCAGATGAGTGTATGAACTGACCCAGTATATGTAAATCTTAATTATTCTAATCAGAAGTATTAATAAGATAAAAGAAACTGCTTACATGGAGGCAGTGCTTTTTTCTGGGGGGATGCAGGGGTACACATACCCCTAAACATTTTGGGAATCTAAGTTTGGCCTCAATGAGGGACAATATTTCAATATGAGTAGGAAAATGAGAGTACACCTAAACATTTTGGGGGGGGGGGGACTGCATGGCGGAGCTTCAGCCTCCAGTAACCAGAGACCAGCATCGATTGTTAGAAACTCAGATACAGTGGTACCTCGGGTTAAGTACTTAATTCGTTCCGGAGGTCTGTTCTTAACCTGAAACTGTTCTTAACCTGAAGCACCACTGTAGCTAATGGGGTCTCCCGCTGCCGCCGCGCAGCCAGAGCACAATTTCTGTTCTCATCCTGAAGCAAAGTTCTTAACCTGAGGTACTATTTCAAGGTTAGCGGAGTCTGTAACCTGAAGCGTATGTAACCTGAAGCATCTGTAACCTGAGGTACCACTGTATATAAGCTAATTGCCAAATGGCACCTTAAACCACAACCAACAGTCTAGTCACCTTTTTGCAGTGAAGTTTATGACTAAAATTATTCTTATAACTAATTTCATTTCAACACTACTTTATATTTTAAAGAATGAATCTGAAAGCGGTTCATCACCCCAGCCACTGTCGAGCACCATCACAGAATTGTAGAGCTGGGATCCTGAGGATCATCCAGTCCAACCCCCAGGATACTGGACTAGGCAACTGCCCCATACAGGGGTCGAACCTGCAACCTTGGCATTATCAACCTCTAACCTTCCAACCAACTGAGCTATCCTGCTTTTGCTGCTACCACTGATGTACGAGCAATTACAATGCCAGTATTCAGCATCCATAGTAACAGAGAAGGCAGAACTAAGAAAACACTAGGGAACAATGGACTCAAAGGTTCATATCTGAGAAATCAGAACTCTTACACCATTCTTTGGGGCTGCAGGAGATAAAAACCTCAGTAGCCTGTGATTCAGCTACACTTGAATTCATGTCTCTTTGCAAGCTAGGAGCAAAGTGAGATGGTCAATGAGCTACTAACAGTAGCATAACATTTATCAGGACTGGGGATTAAATAGGACCCTTCGCTGGGGCTTTTGCTCTGACATCAACAGGTATTTAGGGACATCCCACTGTTTCATTTATGATATGATAGAATAAGCAGTCACAGCCCGTTGTGTGACCATGCATAAATTATCATAGGTTCACTTTCTGTAGTAGCAAGCCATAGTAGCATGGCAAACATGTTATCAAATGCAGTGGCATGTCCTTAGATTATCAGCACCCCACATTCAAGAACTATGGAATGAGTCTGATTTTGAACGCAGACAGGTATAGCTGTGAGTCACAGCTCTGACGTGGAATGCATAACAAGGGTAGTGACTCCAGTCGATGCAAAATTCATAGATTCAATGATGACGGTGAGCAAAAAGAAAGCATCCCCTTTTAAATTCATAGATACACACATCAGCATAACAAATATTAACTATGGACTCGGAACCATGTATGTTTGCATTGCCCTGCCTGAAGGAATTCTACAGCTTCCGAAAGCCGCTCAGATTTCCCAGAAAACACAAGCATATCCTAAAATCCTAAATGGGAATTTAGGCCAGTCAGTCAATTTTATTGTATATAGCCAAAGGCCTTTACAATGGACGACAGAGAATACAAGGAAAAACTTTCATCTAAAACCATACAATGTAACCTGTAATAGTTTACAACATAAAAGAAATTTACAACACTAACAGTCAAGATTGAAGTGTGTTCACATAGTTGGAATGGAGCTTCTTGGCTGCCAGCGCAAATTTGGCTACCTGGTGTGTAATGTATAGATGTTTATCTGCTAGGAGTTCAACTGTCACTTCCTGTGTGGATCAACCTGGAAGCCAATTAAGAATTGGCAATATACATTTTCCTCTGGGCATTGTATACAGGGGGCAAATCAGCAGATAGTGTGTAATGTCCTCTACCTGATTGCATCCACATATACATTTGTGATCCATAGGGGGAATTTTCCTGTATCTCCCCTCTAAATATGCTGAGGGCATCTGTTGGAATCTTATTTCTACAAATGCCCTGTGTAGTTGTGGGAAGGTCAGAGTCTCAAGGTAACGGGGCCTTGTGTGATTGGTCTTAATTTGGGGGTACCAAGTAGAGTAATGGGGGGCAATGATGGATTATCTGTCTTGGTTGGCATCCTGAGCAAAAATCCAATTTCTAAGGTCACATGGGCTAAGGGCTAAGTAGTTCTCCATTTGAAGATTATAAGCTTATCTTGGCACTTTTGTGCCCAGCCCCTTGTCCTTAGTTGCTCTAACCAAAATGGGAATTTAGGAGGAAGTCAAGACACATAAGATTGCACTGTGAATTTAACCTGTCTCATCTTCCAGCATTTAAAAACAGCAACCAACATAGTAAGTGTAGACTGTCCAGGCCAATTTGCTGAGCTCTGGGTCAGCCCCCTGCAATGAAGACAGGAGGTTATGAAAGCTTACTCTCAGCGATATCAACCACAGGCATCTACAGTTAAAGCGTAGTACATTTTGGGGAAGAAACCCTAGCGAGAACCTGCTTGCCAGTGCCAGGACAGATAGATCGAAGGTCAGGCCACACATGTTCATGCTTCAAAGTTAATCACCCTGAAGAAATTAAAGAGTTATAGGAACCAATTCACATTTCACTTCTTGGTTAACATTTTTTATTACATGTATTTTAAAATAGTATTTTATGTCACCCTTCAATATAAACATTTACTAGGTGTTTCAAAAGAAAGGAAGAAATCTACACAATAGAAGGGAACATAACAATAATACTAAAATTCAAAACAAAAGCAATTTACATCTTGGGAACATTTATAAAAGTTTGTCTGGAACTAAAAATATAGTTACCAGGTTAAGCCTTGCTAGGAGGAGAATTCTACAATTGTGGCACCCCAACTAAAAATGCCCTTTCCCCAGAAACCACCTGTCCCACTTCTGACAAGCAGGGACATTCGGAGAAAGGCTTCAGATTAGAAGAAAGTAATTCTTATCAATCCTTCAAGGACTAGCTGCAAAGGAAAACAGGGCTGCTGTCCCTTTAATGGCTGCACAGAAGAGGGAATTTTTGGCAGGTGCTCCTTGGCATGTAGAGGTGAGAAAAGCTGCACCTGCAAGCTTCTGTGTCTTTAATACTTGCAAGTGTGGCTTTTCTCACCTCTCCTGCTAGACTACAACCCCTCCTCCTGCCTTTTCCATACTCAATCCCTCATGTTTGGCACTCCTCATGTTAACAGAGGGAGAAATGATAAGAGAGGGAGTAGCACTACATGAACCCTAGTGAAGGTTGTTGCCCCTGCTGCCTCACATCTGGAACAATCATAGAGCAACTGTTATTTGATGGAATTTGTACTGATGACTGTTTTTTAAATGCACCGAGCTGAGGGGGTATAAAATTGAGAAGATCCATTGGGGGGTGCCAAATTTTGGGCTCACTCAAGTACCAAAGATTACCAAAGTCCACTCTGCAGCAGGAGAGCACCATGGTCTTCAAACCCTGCTGAAGGACTTCAAAGAGGCATCTGACAGGCCACTGTGTGAGACAGATTCTGGATTAAATGGACCTTCTTAGGTTCACAGATGTCTTAAGTATCAAATGGCTGCCTCTGCCTGGAGGGAGAAATACTTTGGCAAGCTGGACATAAACCTACAAGTTTATGACGACTTCTTATCGTCCAAACAGAAATTTATCTTATACAGTGGTACCTTGGTTGTCGAACAGCTTGGCTCCCAAACAAATTGGCTCCTGAATGCCACAAACTCGGAAATGGTCCGGTTTGCGAACATTTTTAGGAAGCAGAACTTCCAACATGGCTTCTGCGGCTTCCGATTGAGTGCAGGAAGCTTTTGCAGCCAATCGGAAGCCGCACCTTGGTTTTCAAACAGTTCCAGGAGTCAAACGGGCTCCCGGGACAGATTAAGTTTGACAACCAAGGTACCACTAGAATACTAATTACCTTAAAATACTGAGGGAGATATTTTACACAAAAATTACTGGTGAATATGTGCATGAACCACCACTTGACTCCTCTACTGTTGATGGCTGGCAGCTGCATGTGCAGGCTGACTCCATGTTTATTACGGCCTCAGCCCAGTATACCTGAAGGAGCATCTCCACCCCCATGGTCCAGGCCAGACACTGAGGTCCAGCACCGAGGGCCTTCTGGCACTTCCCTCCCTGCGAGAAGTGAGGTTACAAGGAACCAGGCAGAGGGCCTTCTCGGTAGTGGCGCTCGCCCCGTGGAATGCCCTCCCATCAAATGTCAAGGAAATAAACAAGTATCTGACTTTTAAAAGAAATCTGAAGGCAGCCCTGTTTAGGGAAGTTTTTGATGTTTGATGTTTTTAATATGTTGGGAGCCGCCAAGAGTGGCTGGGGAAACCCAGCCAAGTGGGTAGGGTATAAATAATAAAAATATTATCATACATTACTATTATTATTTATTGAAATTATATACCGTCTGATACCCGGAATTCTCAGGGCGGTTTACAGTCCATTCATATGTGCCGTCAACACCAAGGCAGAATTTTCACATTGCCTTACACCTATGATGCTGAAAAGCCAATTCATGATTTGGAAAATTTGGGAAAGTTATACTTAAGAGCTTTTGATCACACTAGCTGGCTCTATAGCTCATCTGAACACAAATTAACTGACTGGCCAAACAGGAATTCCCTCATAGAACATATGACCTTTCTCCTTAAATCCCTTTACTGGCTTCCTAGCTAATTTAGCATCTGGAACAGCCATATTTTCCTGAGCCTTAACTCCGTCTGGCCTCGCCCTCTTTTTTTTCTATACTGGTTGAACTGGGATGGCTGGAGTAATGTAGTTCTCCTGAGATCTGTCAGCAGAAGACAAGATCTTTTCAACTCTAAGCTATAGCCAGCCTGCTTTAAGATGACACGACATTACAATCTATGTGCCTCCCATCCCACCAATCTCCTAATTTTGGTTTCCAGAGGGATAGCCATAGTAGTCTCTTGCAGCAAAAATACCGAACAGTCTTATGCCATATTTATTGTTGTAATAAATTCGTTAGTCTTTAAGAAGCCAGCAAACTCTTTTTTCCCCTTTTTTCTTTTTGAGACATTACTGACTATAATTTCCAAAGGAGAATGAACTGTAAAAAAAAAATACTCAGCCTCCCCACTCCTCTTTTTTTCTTCTGTACAAGTTGGAACTTGTAGAAAAGCTATCCTGGATATATTCTTTCAAGGTTATGTAAGTCATAACTTACCAAAGAAGCAGAGTATGTATTTAGAATACATAACATTTCTTTACAACTTATGTTTTCTGTATTGTTTTTAAACCTATTTTTGTTGCTTTTATTGTATGGCTGTAAATCACCTTGGGACTTATTGTGGAAGGTGATTCACAAAATAATAAATAAATGTAAACATGCACCCAACAACTTTGTTGAATACCACCCTTTTATATCCACAATGAAAATATACAATAAAATATTTCCAATTAAACAACATAGTAATGGAAGTCGGAGGCTCAGATAAAGAGAATGCCTGGGTAACCAGGTGTGTCTTCAAAAGCTGGCAAACACCAATACTGATAAGGCATCTCTTATTTCAACAGGGAGCATGTTTTTAACATCAGTGAAAAAGCTTCCTCCATATCACCATAAGCTGATAATTATTAGACTCCGGCAAGACTAACTTGATTCCATTTGATCACCTCAATGCCCTTACCAGGAAATGGAGGGAAAGTTGGTCTTTTGGGTAACCTGGTTCAAAGTTGGATCTTTTAATCCTATATCCTGTCCCATGATATAATATCCTATTCCTAAAAAATCCTTGATAAACTGCCCAATTTTCTTTTAAAAGTACAAAAAAGGGAAAATTCTAGTTTATATGGATATGTTTCAATGGATTTCAAATATTTGGATACTTTGAAAATATTTCACCTCATACCTCTTTCCTTCAGGTTAATTATACCCTGCTAAGAAAGTGATGCAAGCCTCAAAAAAGAAGGAAGATCTTGCTAAAGCCATTCTCCACAGTTGCACCATTAAACAGTCAAAATGTGGTCTGTGGTTGTACCTCAAATTTAACTGAACATGGTATTAGGTTTGATGTTCTTCCAACAACAATGAAACACTTTGATGTTGCATTTTCTCCAGTGAGCTCAATACAACTTACGTGGTTCTTCTCCCATCCTCATTTTATCCTCAGCCTAACCTACATTGGAAGTTTTTAAACAGCAAATGAAGCAAAAACACTTTAAAATAATAGTGACTGGCCCAAGTCTGTCAGTAAGCTTCATGGTTAAGTGTATTGGGGGGGTTATCTACTGCATCATACTTGCTCAGACATTTAATAATTATTTTATACAGCACCATCAATATTCCTGAGCCCACAGAGGATGCAATGGAAAATGCAACAGAGAGACAAGAGCAAGAAGGGATGAATGTAACCAAATGCAGTTACACCTTCTTAAAACTGGTCACAGTTGGAAATGAGGATTAATGGCATGAGGATTAAGGGGGTAAACCAAGGCCACCCAAGAAAGGGTGTAAGGAGGGATTTGAAGGAAGAGACACATTGCATATATATTCAGGGAGGAACATTTTTTCCTTTCTCAACTTTTGGATATTTCCAATAATACATGCCAATATTTTATTTTCCCTATAGCCTTTTTAAAAGGAAAAAAAAAACAAAAAGGAAGGCACCAATCACAGGAATGGGGGAAAACCTCCAGGTGCAAATTCCTTCTCAGGGGCACTCTTAAACCACTTTCAGCTGCACCAACCAACTTGTTTCAGGCAAGACGGGTAAGTTAACAAAATGCGGTTCTATTTAGCATCTAATAAATTTCTGGCACCAAAGCAAAGGTATTCCTAATAATTTGTTCAACACCACCACCAATCCATTACATCAGGAATGGGGAACCTGTGGCCTTCCAGATATTGTTCAACTCGAAATCCTAACAGCTCCAGCCAGCATAGCAAATGGTTAGGGATTAGTTGTACTGTGTGCTGGGAATTCTGTTCATCGGGATGGAGGTGTGCAACTGGCTTTAAATGGAGTTTGCACATCCTGAAGAGCTAGGCACAGAGCTTGTAAGTTTGTCTTCTGAGCCAGGAGAGTCCTTATCAGAGGAGGACCAGGAGCAGCCAGCCTTACTACACTTCTTTATGGTTATTTGTCGCTTTACAAGTTTCCTGCAAGGCAGAAGGGTAAGAATGCAACAGAAAAATCTTCAAATGGATGAATTTGCCCTTGCTCTATGTGGAGCAGCTGGCCAATCAAAAATGGAAATAAGACTCCCACCCATGTGAAATGAATTACTTTGCTAAATTCAGTGATGGCCCAATTCCCAAATAAGGCTGTTGACAATACTGTACTTAATATAAAAACCGTTCTTCATTTTCAAATAAATCTCTTATTAAATTGAACAATGCAGATAAAATCAGATAGTGTGATTATGCTGAAATAATTGTCACAGTATAAATGCCACAATCACTGAAGTCCTCTTTTAATCTTCTGAGAAGCCAGGGGGGACCACAGGTACTGGCAGTGACATGAGAAACTAGTGTCAGAGGTAGGTATTATTTGTCATCTGCCGAGGCCCACACCAGCAGGCCACGATCAATTCCCAACATCTCCTGGCTCTGGTGCTGCTGCTCCTTCCTGCTGTCACTACCTGCCCACCTGTCTTATCTGAGTATTCAAGCAGTAGCAAAAGTAACAAGAAAGAACAACCTTCTCCCTTTGGGCAGATATGCAGACTGAGACCAGAAGGAGAAAGCAAGTTAATGGTTAGTTGGGACACCAGTGAGGAGGTAGGCACACTCAGGAATGGCACCCATTGAGGACATCTTGCACAAGGGACCTAGCCAGGACTAATGATATCCATCTTATCTGAAAACATGAAGCCCTGAACTGCATTAAAACCAGTTCAGCCAAGGTTTTCTTGTGAATGTAAAAGAAAGCTTGCTTCCCTGGACACTTCCCCACCTCTTTTTACACATAACAAGGGCTATGATGAATCAGCAACAGGTCACTGCTTTTGTTCATTGCTAGAACCATTTTATTTCACAGTGTTTTTAAAGAACTAAATAATCATTGTTCTGATAGCACAATAAAACAAAGTGGCAATAGTCTACCATTTAAAGGAAACAACCCACGTGCCTACATCAAGGAGCTGACTCTGCTTACCCACAGATTAACTTAGTGTGTGTGTGGGAAATTAACTTGGATGTAGCTGACATATTAAGGACACCTTGCATAAAAAATAAAATACAAGGAACTGAAACATACAAACATACAGCGTAAGACAGGCTTAAATATGCAATAATTGGGGAGCTTACTCATAGATTGTGGTCCCACCATGCCCATCTCAAGAAGTAACACAGAAAGTACTTGATTATACTTCAAATACTCTTGTACCCCAACAAGAAAGCAGTTACTGTGTGTGTGTGTGTGTGTGTGTGTGTGTGTGTATTACTTTTTGCTGCATTGTATATTTGAGGACAAGAGTTGCTCACATAATGCCTTTATCACTCCATCCCATTGATGAGTTAAGAAGAGTAAAACTGGGCATACTTCTGGCTTTTTAAAAGCCCACTTCTTTTTCCCCAGGTGAACTGATGTCATCACAAGGTCACAGGCGTTAATTCTGCCATTCAAAAGGGAACTTTGACTACATGTGCTAGCTAGCATGAGTATCCCAGGTGCAGCTAACCCCTTGGACCAGCTCCTCTCCATCAATTTAACCGATGCTACACTTCTCCTTCCTTGGGCAAGCACACTTTCTCAGAAGGTGGCAAGCTCTGCAGTGCCAACAATAGCCATGGCTCATCACCACCCAATTTGACAGCCCCTTAGTTGAAAAGCAAATAAACCCATCAGACTCCCACTTCCCACCCTGCCCACGGCTTAAAATGTGCTGCCAGAATAACCTGTTGGGCAAAGAAGAAACTTAAGAGTGACACCTGTCCACTCAGCTCATTACCCAGGAAGGCGTCCAAGCAAGTGCACCATCCCAGCGGGCAGCCAGCTTGCCCCTTCTGGTCCAGCTTTGGAGGAAACCTGACTTACCTTTATCTCGCTGTGATTCATAGCTATGGAGACGGAGAGATCCTGAGCGTCTTCCAGCTGATGTGGCTTCTCCCTATTGTGTACTCGCGTGCTAGGAGAGAGAGGCAGCCTACAGAGCCCCCAGCAACAGCAGCCCAGTTGCCAGGCACCTGGTGGCTTCTTTTCCGCCCGCCCGCCTGCCTTCCTTCCTTCCTTCCTTCCTCCCTTCCCCTTCCCTGCCTTCCTTCCTTCCTCTCAGCCTCTCTCTTCGCCGATACACCCCCTTGAAGCAGATCTGTAGCGAAACCTAGTTCCCCCGTTCCCATAGTAATAGGCACCACCTCTCGGAGCACGCGGATTGGCGGAGCCTGTCCCCCTTCTGGGCATCGCGTAGGGCCACGATTGGGCGACGGCGAAGCAGCCGGGTTCGGTTGCGCAGGCGGCGAAACAGGCCTGGGGAGGTGCGTTGCGCTGGGGGAAGGTACGTGGCGGTAGCGGCGGTGGGCGGTGCTAGTTTGATTTCCCCGCCCTCCCGCTCAGTGACGCGCCGCGTTGAGGAAGAATAAAGCCGGGAGGGGGCGGTGAGTTGATACAGAGGAAGTTACCAGTGACCAAGAAGCCTTGGAAGAAGAGGAAGGGGGAGCCCGAGAGTTATTCATTTTGAATCAGTCATTGTCCCTTGGTCCCAGTATCTGGAATTTCCCGGAGAAGGAGGATCCCCAGGCGCCAGTAAATTCAAATCCCTCCAGGAAGGCAGAGCCCTCCAGTACAGACGTCCCTTTGCAGATATATGGGACCCCATGATCAGAGCTGTCCTAGAAGAATAAAGTTTTATTTTATTTATTTAATTAATTTGCCAGCCGCTTTCTTTTTCCCAGAGCAACCTAAAGCTACTAACAAGCAAACAAATAAGAATATAAAGCCCACATAGCTACATTAAAACATAAAATTTTATGTTGTGAACAGCCCTGTGATGTGATCTTTGGATGAAAGGTGGTACAAAAGGGCGGCATGGGGTGTGTTGAATTTATGTGCGCTCTGCTGATGTACGTGGGGAACAAAACCCCCATGCAAAATGGTCTCCACCTGTATGCAAGCACATCTCTGTGTCTTTAAAACAAGTAAAGCAAAGGGGTCAGTGGAATAGCATTCTGTTGCTTTGGGTAAAGGTAAAGGGACCCCTGACCATTAGTTCCAGTCATGGCCGACTCTGGGGTTGTGGCGCTCATCTTGCTTTATTGGCTGAGGGAGCCAGCGTACAGCTTCCGGGTCATGTGGCCAGCATGACTAAGCCGCTTCTGGCGAAGCAGAGCAGCGCACAGAAACGCCGTTTACCTTCTCACCGGAGCGGTACCTATTTCTCTACTTGCACTTTGATGTGCTTTCGAACTGCTAGGTTGGCAGCAGCAGGGACCGAGCAACGGGAGCTCACCCTGCCGCAGGGATTCGAACCGCCGACCTTCTGATCGGCAAGTCCTAGGCTCTGTGGTTTAACCCACAGTGCCACCCGCATCCGAAAGGTGGTATACAAACTGAATAAATAACAATAGTAACAATAATAACAGAACCAAGAGGAAAGTGAAATAAGAGAAGTTATGGTAAAAGAGTAAATAAACTTAGGGTGGCTTTGCAAATTTGTGTGTGTCTGCTTCTGCACTTCTGATACTGAAACGGAATGGCAGAAACATTGGTTCAACCACTTTAATAGTCCTTTCATCCTTCAACTACTTGATCTTTGGGCCTTTTGGAGGGCAGGAGGAGGAAATCAGAACCCTTTGGGTTACACTTAACACTGATGCAGAGCCAATGCAGTGGTGCGGTAGATCTTGTACTTGGGATGATGTGGCTATAATGCTAAAATCTGTGGATTACACTTTTGAATTGTTTTTTAGCTGCCTCTGATGAAACGTATGGCATATTCCAAACACCCAAAACTTGATTTTGGGATAAAAAGATTTGAAACTCCTCATTACCAAGGAAATGTAATAAATGAATACTGCATAACACTTATGTCTCATCTCAAATGTAACTGATCTGTAGAGAAGACTTTACAACCTGAAAAAGAGACAATGCATGTACTTTTATAAACCAATAAAATCTTTCATAAAAAATATTTTTAAAAAAAAATAATTTGAGACATCTAGAGAGAATTTGTAAAAGCTCAGATCATATCAACTCAAAACAACCTTAAACCCTATGTAATTGATCAAGTGCTGGAGGGCGACTTTCATTTTCTGACTTTTAGTTAAACTATAGGAAGTGTTTATGTTTTACTTTGGAATCAAGGTTATTTATATATGTATCTTCACATGTTCTTGTCATATTTGGGTTTTCTTTTTCATAAATCAACATTATAGAATGTGAATTATCAAGCTTAGTGTCTTTGTAATTTTGTTTTTTTTCTTCTTTTCATTCATTAAGGGAATGTTTATAATATTTTTAAAGTTTTCTAACATGTACTAACATCTACTCATACCAGAGTGGTTCTCCAAGATCTTATGCAGAGGAATTCCAGTTTGGCTTCCTGAAAGTCATAGAACTATAGAATCATAGAGTTGGAAGAGACCACAAGGGCCATCGAGTCCAACCCCCTGCCAAGCAGGAAACACCATCAGAGCACTCCTGACATATGGTTGTCAAGCCTCTGCTTAAAGACCTCCAAAGAAGGAGACTCCACCACACTCCTTGGCAGCAAATTCCACTGTCGAACAGCTCTTACTGTCAGGAAGTTCTTCCTAATGTTTAGGTGGAATCTTCTTTCTTGTAGTTTGGATCCATTGCTCCGTGTCCGCTTCTCTGGAGCAGCAGAAAACAACCTTTCTCCCTCCTCTATGTGCCATCCTTTTATATATTTGAACATGGCTATCATATCACCCCTTAACCTCCTCTTCTCCAGGCTAAACATGCCCAGCTCCCTTAGCCGTTCCTCATAAGGCATCGTTTCCAGGCCTTTGACCATTTTGGTTGCCCTCCTCTGGACACGTTCCAGTTTGTCAGTGTCCTTCTTGAACTGTGGTGCCCAGAATCATAGAGCTGTAGAGTGGGAAGAGACCACGAGAGTCATCTAGTCCTGCCCCCAGCAATGCAGGAGTCTTTTTGCCCAATGTGGGGCTCGAACCCACAACCCTGAGATTAAGAGTCTCATGCTGTACTGATGGAGCCATCAACCCCAATGCAGGATTTACTTTTGGGTAAACATGCACTTGAGTCAGGTCAGAAGTCTATCTAGCTGTGGACAAATCAAGCAAGGCAAGATAGCAGTAGTATAGCTTAGATGGAGGGGGGAATTATTAATTGTACAGAATCCTTGCCCCTACTGGATATAGTAGCTCATGAAACACAGAAGCTTGTGCATCTGGTAAAATAAGGCCATTAAGTTGGGGTTTTAAAGTGCACCACCTTGCAAGTCAAAATAGTTTTAAATTAAAGGTTGTAAACAAATGTGCTGTATATAAACATTTTTTCTGTATGGTCAAACCTAAACACAAGTCTTCCAATTGATATGAATGCAGGGGAAAGGGGCTTCAGGAGGGGATCACTGGTGTATTAGGGGAGTTATGCTGGCGTATCCATAGACACATAGAATTGTAGAGTTGGAAGGGACCATCTGTTGTGTTGTGGGGCTTATGCCAAATCCTATAGTCTCTCAGCTGGCAGATCTTCAATAGGCCTGAATATAAAACCATGTAGTGCTGCTGCATCTTAAACTTTGAAGAAATGTCTTTATTGCTGTCGGCCACATTGTTCCACAGTAAATGCTACCCACACACAAAATAAGCAAAGTGCTTTCACTACAGTTGGGATGATTATTTATACTGGAAAGAGGGAAACACACATTGCCGGTAATCCTCACAAAACAACTGTTCCATTTCTTAGCAGACAGCTGCAGCAAAACATGATCTATTTCCCAGCGAGAGCAAAAAAATCTGCAGACTGCCAAGTGTTTTCCTTTTCTCGAAAAAGGAGGAAATAGCACTTGGCAAAAACATACCACATACCTGTTGCTAAGAAATCTAGTTTCTTCCTGAAAATGATGCTTAATTTAGAATGCTTTCAGTGCCATGCATCAACTGTCATTTCCACGTCTATCAATTCTTGGGGTATATATCCTGGAAAATATATGTGGTTCTTCAAACCAATGTTCATTCAAAGATTTTGTTCAAATTAACAAACCTTCATTGCATTTAAATTCCTCTGCTAGTCTCATTAAGGCTTGTTTCCATATGTTTTGGCAACAGAGTAGTTGCTGTCCAAAATCCCTTCCTCGTAACTCAAGAGAAGTGTAGTACTGGTGTATAATCCTCCTCCCTGCCTGTGTGCATAGCTTCACTTCTAAAAAACAAGATGCTACGGCCCATGTCTGTCAATAAATACCACTTGTGGTGACGGTTCAGAATTTAAAAACCTTCCCTTATTTGGGACATGTGTCAACCCTTACTTAAAAACTCATAATTCTGCGCATGACCAAATGCAACATGGGGCTGTTGAAGCAGCAGAAGAAGGCCTGAGACTACTGTGCAAACTCTTGACTGATTGCAGACCAGTCTGCAATGTACAAAAGCACACTAAAAAAAGACCCATGTGTGTTTCAATGGCTATGTGTATGCACAATCTGTATAACAAGGCATGAACAGGACTCTTGTTAGTTGCAATAACAAAAAGTGAATCTGTGGCAGGAAACAATAGGAAGCTCAGTCCCCTTACTGCTCACACAGAGGAAATCTGGCCTTCAAGTTTTTATAAGGGTGAGGTCTTGGCACATTACTTTGGCTATAATCCTATACATCCATCTTGTAGTTCTCCTATCAGAGTAGGGCTCGGTGATGAAAGACAAGTTGAAACACTTCCTGGCATCCACAAGGCTCTCAGATCCTGCCGCAGGGTCAATCCTCCTAATACTGGGTCTTTTTTCAACAGATCTCATCTATTCTCCTGATCCTGGTGTGTTACCATTAACAACCAGCGCTGGATTTATGCACAAGCTATGTAAAATACAGTTTCAAGTCTTGGGTTGTGAGGGGCATCTAAACAAGCAAGCAAATAAAAAATACTGTTATATTGTTTCTGAGAGTAACACCAGACTGGTATGGGTGCAGGATAGTTCACTCAGCTGCCTGTTTTACTGGAAGAAAGCTGTATGAGAGCACTTTGTTTCCTGTTCCAATGAAATAATTCACAGAACTAGACTTGGAAGGGTTTGGCAATTGCTCCAATCTCCTTAGCAACTTCCTGTATCTCATTCTCACACTTTGAGAGCCGTGACAGTAGGCCACATAGAGAACAAAGCTTTTATAGTCCTGATAAAACATCAAAGGAAATAAATGTGATTTTAATTCCTGAAATTCCTTCTTAATTTCCACCGAGCACCAGTAGATACAGAAGTGTCTTTATCACAAGAAGAACTTTAAATATTGAATAAATGAGCACAGTTAAGGTCTTGACAGAGTTATTCAAGCCCCAAGCTGTAATCTTAAATGTCAGAAAGATGTACCCTCAGTTTTAAATTGTTGCTTCACTTGCCATTATTGAGGACATATCTGAAAAGAACATTTGGTATCTGTAGCAATTAGCATGCTTAAAAATTCACAGAGAAATGCCAGTCAGATACTTAATTTTAAGAATTACATGCAGCTTTCACATATTTTATTACACCAGTCTCTGCTGACAAAAAAAGCAATGTGGAATAAGCTTTGGATAATTCTCAACACATTAACTTAAATTATTTTTCCAATTAACCACAGAAATTGTAGAGCTATGAGAAGATGCACAATGAAGTTACTGTTTTGCTACGATCCCGTTTGAGAGTTGAAACTTCAAAACAACAGCCTTGCTGTGTGTGACAAGGTTTTCAGGTCTGGGAACACAGCCGAGGAGTTTTATTTGAAAGGCAATGCAAGGATATTGAAATATACTCAGAGTCGCAAAGTGATTTCATGCTCTTTCTTCAGCTCATAGTGGTGAGGAGGAATGGAAGTCCCCTCAAAGTATTTGCTTTATATACATTATTTACACAATGGGCTGCACGTGATTGGTTAATTCCGGACTTCTCCTGTAAGCCAATCAGGTTGTGGATTCACTTCTATCTGGAGCTGGATTGGGTGGCTCCTGCCAACCAATCATACTGCTGCAATGTTCTAGGACCAATGAGACTGCAGCATTCTGAATCCCATTGTTCTAGGACCAATCAGACTGCTGCATTTTGGATCCTATTGTTCTAGGACCAATCAGACTGCTGCAGTTTGGATCCTATTCAACTCAGTACATAACAGATATAGGGATAAACAACCAGACAACAATGGAAGTTTAAAAACTTTATTTCTTAATCAAATGCTACACATCTAGGGTGTCCTCTCCCTTATGGAGAATTATCCTAGAAAAGGAGAAACAGAAATTAGATAGGAGGAGTTATCCTGCCTAAACAGGCTAATCCTAATCCCTGCCCTGGCACTGAGAGAGAACTGCTTTTATGTAGACATGGGATGGAGAACAAAATCCAATCCCCCGGGGATCCAGAATGCCATGAGCATTTTGTGTATAATGCGGATCAGTGGAGGGTTGATTGAGCAATTACAACTAGTCTAGACTCTAGAGAATGGCACTGGCTGGCAGCTTCTGGCAGCGTTGCCACTGAAGAATTGAGCAGGAAGGAGGATGGAGATGAAACTATAGTTAGTTGACTCTGACTGTCATTGGCTCTACCTACTGTTGGGCTCCCTTCCTTTTGCCCTAGCAGTCTCAATGGGCACCAGCCTCTGAGTGCAGAGACAACCTAAGTGGAAAACAAATCACCTTTCCATTCCGCCTGATGAAGCGTTCCATGTACAGGAATTAAAAATAAATAAATATCTATTTTGCCCATCTGGTTTAGTAAATTTTATTTGTAGTTTTTTTATTTGCAGTTAACCCCTTCCCCCATTATACAGACACAAACTGGTTGCCGTTTTAGAGTAACTGCAGAGAAATCTCATTGTCATTGCTCTCCACAATCAATAGTCACAACTGCAGCCTTGGTTAGACTTTGTTTGAAGCTGCACAGCAATGTGTCAATTATGTCAAGGAACAACATGATCTCACCAGCAAAATATGAAGAAGCACAGGGAGGTGGATTCTTCAGGGTTTAGATAATTGGATATAGAATGGCCAAAAATCAGTACTTTTGGAAGAACTAATGAAATAGAAAGCTGAACAACAAAATTAGTAATTGATTTCAGCGGCTAACATGGATCAATTAGGTCTAGTACCCAGGGAAAACATTTATGCACTTACTGCCTGCATAGATTAAAATGTGTGAACAAATTTTAAAATTACGCCTGGCAATGCATAAGAACCATGCAATGAGTTTTCTACATTAAAGATTGAGACTCGTGTATCTTAAACAGCTGTCACTCCTTTTGCTCACAGTGCTTGAGAAACCACTTTTGAAAATGGGAGAAGTTAAAAAGCAGATTGTTATATGGCAAGAGGGTCTTCAATCCAAAAGGAAACAAGAATTATCCCAGGTATGCAGAAGCTCTTGGGCTTATATAAAAACTTATTAGGGGTCCAAGTTGTTTAGGGTTTTTGATATTAATTGAATAGCTTTATCTCGTCCATTGTGTTCTACTTTTTGGCATTCCTCTTATTACTGCTGCTTCCCCTTCCTCACTTAATAATAATAATTTTTATTATTTTTCCCCGCCCATCTGGCTGGGTTTCCCCAGCCACTCTGGGCAGCTCCCAACAGAATTAAAAGCACAGTAAAACATTAAAAACTTCCCTAAATTTCTTTTACTATATTCTTTTACTGAGTCTTTTTCTCTCTTTTTGTAGGATAATTAGTATTCTTTAGCCTGCAGATAAGTTGCAGTAAAAAAACAAGCCAAGAATAACATATATTATTCTGCTGGTTCTATCAGAGATAACTAGGCCAGATCAATCAGTTCCAACACTTAATGTGACCAAGTAATAAAACCCAGGATGGAGCTATGCAGATAGAAATAAGCTACTGTAAATTCTTACAGTCCATCCAGGGACAAGGAACCACTCACCTGAGCGTACCCCTTTACTTTCACTAGTCTTAAGTGAACAGCTGCAATTCCTTCTTGCTGTGTCACATTCCAGTGGGTGTCCTCAGGGCCTTCACAGGATTTATAAGCAACTTGGCAAAATATTCACCAAGGAGAGCAAA